CCAAACAAAGTAGTTTCACTTTCACAACGAAACACACGGCGGGCTAGAGTGAGCGGAGGCGGGCGGGCTTGAGAACGGCGCAGCCGGTGGATTCGACGAAGGAGCGTCCGGCGGGCTTGCGGCAACCACATGTGACGACCCCGGGCTGAACTCCGCTTCGTCCATGGTGAAAGCCGATCCTGCGATCCAAAGCACGAAGTTGATGTATTTCCTCAGCGACCAGCACGGATCAGCTCCAGGCATGACAAAGCGGATATCGTCCTCTTTTGGAAGGCCAAACAAAGTAGTTTCGCTTTCACAACGAAACACACGGCAACAGGAATACTACAGCGAGAATCAAAGTTACGCCTTCTTTCTTTGCGTTTACATTTGGACGGTGTTATGCAAATCTTCCCACATCGTGAGGTAGACATGTGGGGGCGTGTTAGAACAAGCCGTTTTAGGTAGGCATGGCTGACTCTTAACTGTTATAAAGAATATCCCTTTGGATTTGAAACTTTAGTCTTTGCAACTTTACAGATCTTAAGTAACACTCCAAAGAGAAAGAAAAAAATTTAAATCGCATCATATGACCCCTTTAATATTATTTACAATGTGAGACGATATCTCAGATTTGCTAAAACGTAACAATTCCTGCAGCTTTGGAAATACAAATAATTCTGTATACTTAAAATAAACATACAAATGAAGGCATTAAATGCATAGTGGGTCCTTTTGGATAATAGCGTGTGGCAAATGAATAAATTAAATGAAAAGTGGAGAAATACATACAGCAGTGTCAGTTGTTTCAGACTAGCAAGCTCTTTGGGCACGGAGGTAAGGAGATTTCCTTCCAAGTATCTGAAACGGTAAGACAAATCCTGTTAACAGGCAAGTTTACAATCCTCAAACAAGCTATAAAGTAAAACCAGATTCATTTTAAATTTCATTTCATGCTTAAAAATACATTTTACATCGGAAGAAATAGACTTATTACCACAAAGCGGCTCTAGATGTAGAGGAGTTACAGTGAGCTGCCTTGCTGTCTAGTGTAGCTGAAGTGTAGCTGCTGGGATTGCTTATCTACAAAATTTACTCTTGGTATTATATTCAAAACTATGACACAGGAGAAGAGGTCAATCCTGCTGGAGTTTTCCTGTACAACCCAAGAACAATTACTGTCCTTCTGCTGAAAAACCGACAGCGTCAAGGCAGGATATTTCTGTTCACCACACTCGCCATTAAAACCGCTTGTTACATCAGTCTCTCCTTGTCACTTGTTTGCATTTCTTTTCTTCTCTTAGTCACTGTCGTCTTGTTCTATTGCTTCCCTGTCTCTCCATCTATCCCTTTTCTCGAAGTATGAGTATGAGCTGCTCTTATCGAGTTTAAACGACAGTGTCAGCAGTTCTATGAAGGCGCTGTGCTCACTCTTCATCTGATTGGTTCAGTAGATTATGACTGACACCTTAACTGTGCAACAACTCACTACCCCTCATACAATCAGAGTGACCCATCTCAGAATCAATTTCAGAAAAAAGGTCTGAAGCTGTCACTGAACTAAACTGAAAAAGATGAAAACATGACAGGAAGGAGCTGGAAGGAGAAACTCACACTTCAGTTGTATCTTTAGGGATACCCTTAGGCAGCGAACGCAGCCCCCGGTTACTACAGCGCACCACTGTGTCCGAGCATGAGCAAGAATCGGGACAGCGAGGGGCCGACGGCAGACAGACATTCTCTTCCGTACCTTAGAGAGGAAGATATGCATATTTTATGCTCCTTTACATCATGCAAGACAAAAACGTAATATGTGCTGCTAACAGATCTAATATAGAAACTCATCAATTCTTTAAAAGGAAGTAATGGAGGATGGAGAAAAAGAGAGAGAACGGATGAAAGTGCACAGGTGCTGCGTGCACCAAATTGCATTGCACCCTCTCTGAAAATAGCCTTTTCTCAGGAATGTGGGTCTCCAAACATGGGTATCATTATTACAGCGCACGCTTGCTCATAATAAGTGATACAGTGCACAGGAGTTTAAAATCAGCAGCTAAATATTGCTTTTGGCTTCGCTTGCTCCACATTTCCTGCAAGCAATACTTGTAGCCTCCTCCCGAGCTGCTTTCATCCAAGCTCTTTAAGATGCTATCTGTAAAAGGCTGAATTGCCCTATAGATTAAAAAGAAACAGCGAATTAAGCCATTAATGGGAGGTAATGGAGACTGAGATATACTCCAACAATAACACACAGACCGAGTCTGGAAGGAGAACGCTGGATCTGGATGTGCCTGCAAACGTAGAAGAGCCAAAGGGGCTGTGGGCTAGTTTTACAATGACTGGACTCTTTCAAACGACCAAAAATATCTTCCCGTAAATCAATTTAGCTTGACTTTGTTACTCTAACTGTAATTGCAGAGCACTGAAATAGCTGGATGTTGTGGTGGTGAGTTTTTTGGAGCCCCACTCAAGGAGGAAGAAACGAACAGAATAACAACACATGAGCCCTGACAGACAGCTTCTTCTAACTAATGGACCTCGAGCCAGGGCGATTTCTCTCACTTTCAACCTCTTTATTTCAAAGTGCTTCGCCCGTCTACAGCTGAGCAGGCTCTCTTAACACGATATTCCCTGAAGCAGCAAAAGAACTGTTTCTACCATAGCTTTGACAGGGAGGCCTTCTGAAACACAGGACCCCAGCCAGACAGAAGCCAAACCGCAGTTTCTTTTTCTCTGTTAAACTTTATGTCGGTCTCGAGAGGTTCTGTTTTCCCCCTCTTTATGGACACAAGTTCTTCCCTATAAAAACCAGAGTTGGAGAAGATAATGTTTAGGCCTCATGAAAATTTGTCCTCATGCTGCCCTCTCAGTACGGCCTTGTGGGAAGCTGGACGGGTGTGATTTACTCTGACGCTGAGAAGCAGGGAGAGGAGGATGAAGGTGTGGGAAATCCGAGGAGATGGGAGATGGAGAGAGCCTCGGTCTGGAAGTAGCCGATTCAGTGGCCTGATCTAAGCAGCGTGATTTCATGGGAACTGGAGATGGATGTGGTGTGGATGGCACAGGCTACAGAGCAAATACTAGCTGAGGTCTGCAAACCCTTGTTCAGCGTCCTGACAGTGCGACTCTGGTTCATGAGGAACTGCTTAAAAGGCCAGTGTGGACATAAAGGAATAGAAGAGTATGAAAGAGAATCAACATTATATATACATATAATATATACAGTATATAATATATATATATATATATATACAGTGTCCAGAGCATTCAGAACCTCAGGCTGGGCAGAAGGTTCACCTTCCAACAGGACAATGACCCTAAGCACACAGCAAGAGTGGCTTATAGACAACTGTGTGAATGTCCTTGAGTGGCCCAGCCACAGCCTGGGATTGAACCCAATCAAATATTTCTGGAGAAACCTGAAAATGTGCATCTGCCCCCATCCAACCTGACAGAGCTTGAGAGGTGAACAGGTGAGGTGAAGAATGGCAGATAATTGCAAAATGCTGATGAGCAAAGCTTGTCGCATCAAACAAAAAAGACTTGAGGCTATTAAGGTGCTTCAGCTAAATATTTAGTTAAGGGTATGAATACTTATGCAATGTACTTTTTGGTTACTTGAAGGGGTGTGCATAAGACTGACATGACACCTTCATAATCATAACATGACACCTACATAATCATGACATGACACGTCATGAATATGAAGGTTTTTTATGCATGTTTATGATAACTGTCATTAAGTGTCATTCACTCAGTTATGTAATTTTTAATGCAAAGATGACATTGTTTGAGATGTCTTTGTTATGGGCTATGGTTAGGGGTAAGGGTAGGGGTAGGGTTAGGTCAAATAATGTCATATTTGCATTAAAAATGACATAACTGAGCGAATGACACTTAATGACAGTTGTCATAAACATGCATAAAACCTCCTTCATATTCATGACATGTGTCATGTCATGATTATGAAGGTGTCATGTCTGTCTTATGCACACCCCTTCAAGTAAAGTGTTACCTCAGCTTTTTATTTGTAATACATTTACGAAGTTGTGACAATTCTGTCTTTGCTTTGTCAGAATGGATTCATTGTATGGTGTGTAGATTGATGTGGAAAAAAAGTAATTTAAATAAGTTAATCATAAGGCAGCAACATAACAAAATGTAAAAAAAAAAATTAATGTATGAATATTTTTGTAAGGCACTGTATATGTCACATGTATGTTCCTGTTTTCCTTATTTGGTCTTTCCTGTTCCTGTCCTCTTTGTGTGAATGCGTTTCCAGCTGTGTTTAATTAATTAGTTAATTTGCTCCCAGGTGTGTGCCATTGCTGTCTGTGCATTTAAACCCTGTGTTTCCCGACTGCTGCTAAATGTCATTCTTTCTACTTGATGTCTCCAGTGTTCCGAGCGTTACTCTCATTAAACCCTTTTGATTTGTATTATTCCTGGTCTCCTCGCTCCTTCGTTCATTCCTCCCTGAGTGGCCGTGACAGAACAGCAGACCTTGACAGTAAGCATTTTGAAAAGGGTTTTGTTTTTTTCCACGTTCATTTCTCCCCGCCCAAATGGAGGAACGGGCGATGTTCATCGCCGAATGACTTCCCATCGCCCCGTGGAGCTCCCAGACACCACCAATCTCGACTGAAAGGAGGCAGTCATCCAGTGTCTGGAGAGCCTCTGATGCCGATCCGGAACCCCGCCGTTCTTAATGGCCGTTCCCGTGGCAAGACCGCTGGCCAATCCAAAGTCAAGCCCGTCGGTCGTGGCTCACTCCCGGCCCAGGAAGGGCTCCTGATTCCTTGTTTAGCCCAGGGAGGGCTCCTGATTCCTCGTTTAGCACAGGGAGGGCTCCTGATTCCTCGTTTAGCCAAGCTCGCTCCAGTGTCGGCTCCAGCCCCTGAGTTCGCTCCAGTGCCCGCTCCTTGAAAGCACCTTGCTGTGCCTGCTCCTCCAGTGCCAGCACCTCTTAAGTGCTTCCCAGATCCCCAGTTAAGCCCAGGGAGGACTCCAGATCCCCAGTTAAGCCCAGGAAGGGCTCCTGATACCTCGTTTAGCCCAGGAAGGGCTCCTGATTCCTTGTTTAGCCCCAGTTAAGCCCAGGGAGGGCTCCTGATCCCCAGTTAAGCCCAGGGAGGGCTCCTGATTCCTCGTTTAGCCAAGGGAGGGCTCCTGATTCCTCGTTTAGCCCAGGGAGGGCTCCTGATTTCTCGTTTAGCCCAGGGAGGGCTCCTGATCCCTAGTTAAGCCCAGGGAGGGCTTCTGATCCCCAGTTAAGCCCAGGAAGGGCTCCATATCCCCAGTTAAGCCCAGAGAGGGCTCCAGTTACCGAGTATAGCCCACGAAGGGCTCCAGTCCCTGAATCCCCTCCAGAGCACCCTCAAGTGCCCGCTCCTCCAGAGCGCCCCCCAGAATTCCTAATTTCCCCTAAGAAAATGGGGGGGGGGGCATATGCCCGTGGCCGAGCCGGTTAGGGTCACGGAGGATCCGCTGTGGCCTCCTGAGTCCCCTGATCCGCCATGGCTCCTTGAGCTCCCTTCTACGCCATGGCTCCCTGAACTGTCTGCTCCGCCATGGCTCCCTGAGTCCCCTGCTCTGCCATGGCTTCCTGATCTGCCCTGGAGGCTCTTGTCTCCACCCTGTTCAAGTCCTGCACCAGCCTCCCCTCCCCGATGGTACTATTACGGTGCGAGACGTGCCGTCCGGGAGGGGGGCAATCTGTCACGTGTATGTTCCTGTTTTCCTTATTTGGTCTTTCCTGTTCCTGTCCTCGTTGTGTGAATGCGTTTCCAGCTGTGTTTAGTCGTGGGGAAGTCGTGATTTCTCGTTTAGCCCAGGGAGGGCTCCTGATCCCTAGTTAAGCCCAGGGAGGGCTTCTGATCCCCAGTTAAGCCCAGGAAGGGCTCCATATCCCCAGTTAAGCCCAGAGAGGGCTCCAGTTAAACGAGAAGTCGTGGCCTAATGGTTAGAGAGTCGGACTCATAACCCAAAGGTTGTGGGTTCGAGTCTCGTACCGGCAGGGATTGTAGGTGGGGGGAGTGAATGTACAGCGCTCTCTCCCACCATCAATACCACGACTGAGGTGCCCTTGAGCAAGGCACCGAACCCCAACTGCTCCCCGGGCGCCGCAGCATAAATGGCTGCCCACTGCTCCGGGTGTGTTCACGGTTTGTGTGTGTTCACTGCTGTGTGTGTGTTCACTGCTGTGTGTGTGCACTTTGGATGGGTAAATGCAGAGCACTAATTCCGAGTATGGGTCACCATACTTGGCCACATGTCACGCCACTTAATTAGTTCATTTGCTCCCAGGTGTGTCCCATTGGTGTTAAATGTCATTCTTTCTACTTGATGTCTCCAGTGTTCCGAGTGTTACCCTCATTAAACCCTTTTGATTTGTATTATGTCAGGGGCTGGCGTCTGGTGTTCTCCCTCTCACCACCAGAGGTCGCCATCTCCCATCCTCCCGGACTCTTTCTCCGTCACCTTGACACCACACACCTGGGCACCCACTCACACACACACACAGCTGTCGCCCATCCGGGACTCCATCACCTGCACTCCACACACCTGTGCACACACTCACTCTCACACAGCTGTGGCCCGTCACGAGGACTATTTAGGCGCCTTCCCCACGCCACTCGGGGCGGATGATTAATGTTGGTATAATGTTTGGTTGATGCGTGTTACGAGCATTATACTGTTTGTTTGTAGTCACGAGGGGTACGAGTGTTTCTAGTGTCTGTTCCGGGACTGATGCAAGCCAGAGGTGGCCGTTTTGCATCAGTGCCCATTTGCGTGTTTCTAGCGTGTCTCAGAGTCTTAGCTCTGTTTATGTTCTGTTTTTTCCTTTGTTTTCCCTGGCAGTGAATAAAGCCTGCACTTGGACCCAAAACCCTCGTTCACACGGTGTCTTTCCTGACCGCGCCGTGACATATTACTCCTGGTCTCCTTGCTCCTTCGTTCATTCCTCCCTGAGTGGCCGTGACTATATACTGTATATATTAGTTATTTTTGCATGAACCACATTCAGTTGTTGTGAAAGAGGTGATAACCCTGTATACTATAACAGTGACACGGTAATTAACTCAACATAAACATACAGTATTGGTCATCTATAAGTATGACCCTAAATTATATATATTTTTTATTATTAATAGATATAAATCCTTATTTTAAAATATATTAATTAAATATGTTCTTATTTATTTCATTTTATATAATTGATAAAATATTTTATTTATATAATTTAATCTATTTATATTAGTATTTTTATTTTACAGTAATATACAATTGAATGCCCAGTAAGCAATATTTATGATTATATCATAAAACATAAATAATATAATTGTATCATTTCATATCATAAATCATAATATAATTTTATTATATACAATCATATTGTAATAAAAGTATATCTTATAAACTATTAATCACTTACAATTGGCAGTTGTGGTAGAAGTACATTTTGGACCCTGGTTACTGTGATTGCACCAAAGTTAAGGTAGTCAGGCTATGCTTGTTTCTTTACTATGGTAAAATCAATGTGATGCATGACTTTATGCATGATTTATTGCTTAATTTACATTCTTTGATGCAGGAATTTGCAGGAAGTTACTTATCCATCAACAGGGCAAGCAGCACACTGTACAAGAGGACGTGGCCCAAAATAGAGTTATACCGTCGCAGGAGAAATCAGGCATGGCTACATCTTGTATGGGGATCTCCTTCAGGAAGGCAGGTTTCTGGCAGCGTGGGTTGCCACTAACCACCCTGGTCTTCTTAAGCCACAGTCCCAGCCAGGCTAAGTGACAGTCACACACGTAGGGATTAGACAGCAGGTTACTGTACACAAACAGAAAGAAAACACAAACCCCATTACTATATAATTACAACGGAAAGCAATCAGCAGGGTTAAATTACCACATAAAGATTCAACTTCAGCCCATTTAACCCAGCAGGAGAACTGAATTTGCATTTAAATAGCAATGCAATTACATATTATGACTGTGATGTGGCCTGCAATGCTGACAATATTTGATAGCAACTTTTGCTATGTTATTACATTGTTATAAAACTGTTATAACAGCTACTACAAGTAAACTGCTTTTAACACTAATATGAGGGCTCACGAATAAGACACAGACACATTTTCATCAAGATTGGGTACACAATGATCCATCAACCAATGGCTACAGGGACCACTGGACTAGAGGATTCAGAATTAACCTATTGTCCCATTTTTCATGTGTCCTCACTGAGTTCTGAACGTTCAGGTGGTGGCACACAGACCTAAATCATAAAATATTTGCCTTGAGTTGAAAGCGTTACCAGCAATGACTCTAGAAGGTCCACTAGGGAGCCGGCTGACGGCCCACTCAGACGCTCATTTAACTGATGCATTGCTGAAACACATGGCCAGGAGCAGCAGCAGCAGCAGCGCTAGTACAGGCACAGAGGAACTCTTTCATACAGTGGGAACTAGAGTAGCTGAGAGTGACTGCTATACACTACAGCCTGCGGGATAAATTAATCGAGTGTGCTGACCTTCCGCTGCTTTGCCAATAGATGCTTCGCAGCTTAAAGGGATGGGCTCATGTTAACACACCCTATATCAATGTGTCTGCCTTGAATTATTCCTACATCACTTTCTGTGCTCGCTTCAAATGGCAAAGAAACACAAGACAGCTGAGAGAGAACAAGTGAGGCAGACGTTTGCTTTGGGAATGACATCACAAACTAGACATGAGAGAATATTTATGCTGCTAAATTTAACAAATTAAAAATAAGTGACAAAACACATGGTTATTTTTTACTGTGATAATCACAAGTGAGAGCATTCAAAATAACCTCTGTCCTGACTGCTCACTCCAAACTCTCCTACCGGAAACACACTCCCGCTACGCTCTAATTTCAGCAGAGGTGGAGGGATGAATGATGGAGTGAGAGAGAAACAGGAGGGAAGTGTGCCCAACATGCCTGCTGCACTACTGTGGGAAGAGAATAGCTGGGGAGGCCTTGCTCTCTATCTCTCTCTCTCTCTCTCTTTTGCGCTCTGTCTCTCTCTCTTTGGATATTTTTAGCTGCCCTGTGCTGAAATGGACATGGTTGTGTCAGCCACTAGGTAATTAGAGAGCTGGGGCAAAACATAAAAAAATAAATAAATAAAGTGAAAAAGAGAGACTGAAAGAAATAGCATGCACAACAGATCAATTGAAAAAAGTTGGCTTATGGCATAAGGAGGAAGATAGAATTCAACATTCAACAGTTTCCATACATAATATATGGAATACATGTGTATTAATGTTTATTTAGTTGAAAAGAAGTATACGTTACATTCTACATGGAGGTCAAAAAAAAAAAAAGCTTAGTTCAATCCATGACCCAGTAGCAAGTGACTTTATTTATTATACACAAATTATTAAATATAATATACAGAATAAAAATAATAGAATATTTAAAAAATAATTACATTTTTATTAATTAAAATAAAATTGATAATTTTTATTAATTTAATAATAGAAAATAAAAGATAGAAGATAATATTTAAGAATATTATATTCAATTTTAGAATACAATATTTAAAAATAAAAAATAAAATTAATAAAATTGAAATATGTATGTTTTTATCAAGTATGGAAGAACAAAACAAAACATGTCAACATAAAAAAAAAGCAAAGCAAAACAAAACAGAACAAAAAACAAAGTAAAAAACATAAACTATGCTATAGTGCTAAGCTAGAAAAAAGTTTACGCCTTGTTTATGCCTTGATAAAAAAGGAAAATATATGTTACTGTTTAGATGACTTCATTGTGTAAATTCTTGTTTATGCATGCTAAACTTGATTAAATGGTCAGAAAGGAATGAATGACACCCTATGCAAATCAGAACAATCTGAGAGTCTCTCTGCTCAGAATCTGCTCACACATTTCGGTTAGTAGAGAGGGTTCACTGAATGAAAAAGAGAACCATGTGTATTGCTGCACATTGAGATGTGTGCCAGGAATACAGCCTGATATGATAATTCAAATGGTTACAGATGCTCGCTGTGTTGGCAGTCATCACTTCCATTTTTTTTCTAAATTATGATTCCACCAGAAGTTATTTTGAATGCTTAACAGCATCTGTTTATCTATGAACATCTGTGAGATCTCTTTCAGCTTTCTCTGTTGATCTTTCTCTTTCTTGTCATTCCCTCAGGGCTGTGACACACTAGAGTTCATTTTTTTGTTGATCAGTTCTTTGTTTACCTCCCCCACAAAAAGCTATGCAGATATTAATCTGTATTCAAAAATGCACCACTCTCCATTTTCTCCAGCTGTTTCCAGTTTCTTTACAGCATACAATCAAAAACAAAAATGAAATGGCAGAAGAATGAATTCAGTCCATTTGCCTTTGTATGGACATCATCATCGCACACGATCTTTAGTCCATTTTTAGACAGCAGAGCAATTTTCCTTTTTAGCCATTTTTGAATAATTTACCCTGCCCCATAGGGCAAGCCAAAATTTTCTCATCTGAGGTTCAAGAACAACCGAGACAAGAAAACATAACCTCATAATTTTGAAAAACATCTGCAAACAATAAGAATTCTTTGCTCGAACCACATCCTCATGTGCTTTGCATATGAAGATATAATAGGCGCTTGATTGGTGGTGGTGCGTGACCCGATAGACTGTGTTTGACTTCCTGCATCTTTGTGAATTTTTCAACTAACTCATTTGTGGGTTTGGTACGGATACAGCAACTTCAGTGAATAGTTTTATTAGGCAGCAGAGATAGTTGCGATTTTAAAATGCCTAATTCTTATTATTTCAATTTTTTTAGCACTAAAGAATTTCAGTCGATTGTGGATGCATAACTGATCAAGTGAACCCATGGCACAGAGGGGAATGTGTGTGTGTGTATGTGTGTGAGAGAGGGTGGAGGACTCACATGGTGGAGAGGGAATGCAGGGTGTTGAAAGCTCCCGGGGCGATAGTGGAGATCCGGTTATCGTAGAGGGAAAGCAGGCGAACGGAGCTCAGGCCGGTGAAGGTGGCGTTATCCACACAGCTGATCTGATTACTCCTCAGCATCCTGATGGGAACACAGAGGCAGGTTGGCTCACATTGAGTCTGACAGACAGAAGCACGCAGCTCACGGGGAGGGAGGAACGGAGAGTTTATGAGACTCTACAGCTGCTGTAATGCATTCAGTCAATCACGGTTTTATGGTATGACTGCTAACACGTCACTTCAGAAACATTAATTTGTGAAAATGTGGCATGCACGCAGTGAGTGGGTAAACACACACGCAGGTATAAGGGAGGAAAGTCTCTGTTTCAGTCTCTGGCTTGCTGGCCTTTGAGATTGTCAGGTAAAAGATGATCTTGGATCGCGGCCTGTTCTGTAACCATGTGTGTATGCTCTCGGAGATCCTGTCTGTGCAGCAGACGCAGACCGCTGAGGCAGCTCTCCGCTTGACACGGGACAAGATGAGTTTGTGTGTGTGGTTGGGGAGGGCTGAGCTGCCCAAATCAATCAGGTTCTCCTAAAGGCCCTCAGCAGCACAAACGGGCTAAATGCAAACCAGAGTCTGCCGTGATGAAAACCTGAAAGCAGCAAATTCGGCATTAAACTCTGACAAACAGGGATCTGAGACGAGCAAACTCAATTTGGACACATACTCCTGGGATTTGAAAGCCACTAAATCTAATATTGCAGGACCATGATTCCATTCATTTGCTCTTATGCACTCCTCTCTCTCCAATTAAGCTAATTAGAGCCACAGCAGACCTTAGGAAGGCTTTTTCTAACCACCAGGCTTCATATGCATTGTATTAGCATCTTTGTTTCCGATAGCGCTCCGGCATAGAGGACATCTATGCCCGTAAGTCTTGATTAGACCTGACGATCACAGTCTGGTTTCTGCTGAGAACGGGCAATTTTTCTTGAAAATTTGTTTCTAAAATAGCCTATATGAGCAATTCCTGAAGCACATTTCCAGTGTCGTAACTCTAGCGTTTGTGCATTTATATTCAGAACCGTGTGAATATATGAATGTAAATGTGGCTCAGAGGCATGTCTTCATTTTAATGATCAGGATAACAGTAGAAAAATGAGCTTAAACGTGAAACAGTGGCAATACTTACAGCGTTTTGAGGCCGCTCAAACCCTTGAACATCCGTCCGCTGACTGACTGCAACTTGTTTCCGGTCAACAGCAGCTCCAAAACACCTCCGGCCCCATCAAACGCCCCCTCACGGATGTCCCGGAGTTTATTATTACTTAAGTTTCTGCAAACACAGAATTGAGGAAAACATTAACTCCCCTTGCGCTCTGACGCAAGCTTTTCTTTTAATGTGTCTCAAATGTGCTATTTATTACTCTGACAAATGGCAGAAAGCACAGGTTGCAATGGTACACAGCAAATGTCTTTGTTTCATCACATGAATAGGTTGTGGTTGTATCCTAAACACACGTTTATGAAGATTCACAGCTTAATTTTAAACCGTGCTTCAGTAAAATCTAAGGTCGGGCTTTTAGATCTGCCCAATTTATAACTGTGCTAGATAGTAAGCAATTTCATGCATGATAAATCACCGGTCCTCTTCCTGAGCGGACACCGCTCTTTCCAATTTTGGAGTGGCCTGCAAATATTGCCTAACAGTAAATCACTGCATGCGTTTTCCTATTAGGTTAGAGTATTCCAGAAGCTTTTCTTGTCCTGTTGTCCATAGCATTGACTGCATACAAAGCTGCATTTTTCAGATATGCCTATGTCAATCAGCAGTCAAACCCTTCAAACGCAAATGAGAAGTAAACCAGTTCGTACATCTTGCGCAGGTTTGGCAGCTTCTTGAAGGCCCCTGTAGCCTCTAGGACGGAGATTTCATTGTCGTTCAGCCGTCTGGTGGAGAGAGACAGAGGTTAATAGTTCAACAGTAAGTATAGTACTCACAAGCTATAATAATAAGATAAAGTCTTACAGCAAAAAGTACTAGGAAACCTCACTGGAGCATGTAGGTGTGAGATGGAGACAAGAGAGCTAAGGGTGATGGGAAGTGATTATCATTCAGGCGCTGTCTCTGTTTCAGTCTCTTATGTGGGAGGACTGTGATGTCATCATAATAAAAAATCAGTATCGCTCTCTCTGGTATGAGCGCTCGATATGTGACTCTCATACACATGATGACAACATGAAGGACATATTCTTTTTCAAATAATAACAGTGGATATGGAAGGCGGGCTAATGGGCAATGCAGATAAATGGAGACATCTGGAAACAGATGATGTAGTTTGGAATGGCATACTACTTTATGCCAGGGGTTTCAAACTGGGGTTGCAAGGAGGTTGCAAAAGCAGGAGGAAACGTAAAAATAAAAAAATAAAATAAAATGAATGAATTCAATTAAAATTTAAAATAAATAAATAAATAACACTATGTACAATTTTATTATGTAAAACAATAAAAAAATTAAATCAAATAAAATATGTTCTCAATTGACATTATGACTATTTCATTCTGCTTTAAACACTGGTTGAAAATCCTGAGATTAATCACAATTAGAAAAATTCTAAAAGTATAGTCACATTTACCAGTGCTCTGCAAATATTCCTGGGCAAAATCCAGTAATTTCAATAAAAATGTATGCAATCAGGAATTTTGCATGAGGGTGAAAGTGCTTCATATTTTGCTACACTACTGAAAATAGACTACGAATATGAAGAGACAATGAATTTACGGATATGGCCGCACAAAATTTTATTGTAAATATTTTCATATAATATTTTGCACACATTTAAAATATGTGGTAGTCCGTTATCAAATTTGGACTTTTTTCTATTTTCACACACATTTAAAATACTAATTTTTCACAGTATAATCAGGCCATTAAAAAAAAAAAAGTTTGAAAACCCCTGTGCATGTATTACACAATATATCATGTCTTCCAAAACTGGTGCATTCAAGTCATGTCGGAAAAATCGCATCTACAAGTTAAAGGCACATGAACAGCACCAGCCTTTTTTAATAGTAAATTTGTTAATATTAATGGAACGATTATTACAATAAAGCTAATCTAAGTTGCATTTAAAAATACCATAGTATTGTACAATTATAGAACACATAATTTGATTTACAGCACCTTCATAAATTGAATAAAAAAGCAAAACACACATAATGTGAATTCTTTATTCATCATTTAGTAGATGAATAAAAATCTTGTTGAATTTTATGCAGAAAATATTTACTTTAAACTGCTAGTAAATTTGACAAATATTTACAAAGAAACAGCAAGTATAACATTGAATTAAATGTTACATTTTGAAGTGAAAATAGTATAATAGTAAGACTGAAATAGTATATATTTTTTAATCTTTGTAATCTCTGTAATCTTTGTTTTATTTACTTTGAAAATAATTTTTTCACTTTGCATCTTGCTCCAATCAAATTGATTTGAATGCACCTGACGGCATAATTACGACTTCCCAATTTGCAAATACAAAATTCCCAGGAGGACTTGAATGCACCAAATGTGTAGATTAAAACCAGGAAATAACAAGAAACTATAACCAGGAAATGATAGCATACAGTACATACTGCACAGCAGTTAGCAGTACGCTAGTATTCCATTGAAAACACAGAGTGAGACAGGCTGATGCAGAGAAGGTCTAGACAAGGTTGAGAGAGACTTTTCAAACATTAGTAAAAGTAGAGTCTAGTAAATGCACCACGGCTGCCTTCCCCAGCGGGGCCTGCCACGGGAAAGCAAATCAGACATAAAGTGCTGGTTCCTGGTTGCTAGCATTCCCGCAAGAGCTCTATAAATAAGCAGCTGCGCTAGCGGGTGCAGGCTGTAGTCACTGAGCTGCAGAAAGACAGAGAGAGAGAGAAAGAGAGAGAGTGACAGATGACTCGAGTTGATGGGACTGCAGAGGGAAAACCCTGATGTGTCCTCTACTCACGAACACAAGGGCAAATGCATTGTCACCCTGACTAGCGCAGCCTAGGGAAAACACGGCTGAGTGGCTAATGACCTGAGAGAGGCCCTGGACATTCATTCACCACAACTCAGCTGGGGACGAGACCCGGTAATCAGAGGACAGGAGAGAGGAATGAGGCCTCAGAGACAGAGGGACACCGAAAGAAATAGCGAGGTGAGATTGTAAATGGCCAATGATCTTGAGAACGACTTATGGGGTCGCTAGGTGTGTTTGTAAGCTCAAATGTGTGACTCTTACAGGTCGGTGGTGTGCTCCGGCAGGTGAGGGGGTGTTTTGGTGAGTTTGAGGTTGGAGCAGTCCACCACTGTTCCCTCACACCGACAGCGCTCGGGACAAACCAGGTCCTGGAAACACTCGCCGCTGAGATGACTGCGGTACTCCTCCGCACCTAACAAACACAACAGACACAAACAGAGAGAGACAGACATTCAACCAGCTTATTCAACTCATCACACGCACGGTACATCTCACAAAATCTGTCAAGCACATGTCCAGGTCACCTAAAAATCTAAAGAAATAAGAAATATATTTAATATATTAAAATATAATCTATTATTATATCATAAGAAATATATTGGCATAAAAATTAAGCCTTTTTGCACTGTGACATTATTTCAGGACAATTAAGCACTATAAATAAAATATTAAATAAATAGTAGTATTTATACATTAAGATATTTGTTGTACCGACTATATACAATAATAAAAAAAAATGTAATACAGTTAAAATAATAGGAATTAGGAAATAAAACCTTAAAGTAAAAAGTCTGAAATTCATTCCAGTTAAGAATTTGGGGGAAATGTGCTAAATTGTCTTAATGGCTTTGCAACATGTAACATGTAAAATAATAATAATAATAAATAAAAATTGTGAAATATATGAACACAACTTCTATATTTCTATATAAAATGTACATTTATATTTTCATGTAAATATTCATATAAAACTGGCTGTAATGCAGTTTAAATGTTAAATAATGAGAAGTACGAAAATAATCTCAAAGTAATTTCAGAAATGCATTCAAATAATCAGAAATTTTGGGGAAATGTGCAAAACTGTCTTAATGGCTTAAAGTGCCACTATTATGCCATTTCCAACATTGCCTTTCATGCAGTGTGTAATGTAGCTGTATGTGAAAGTACATGACCTGCAAAGTTATTGTCTCCCAAAATAAAGAATCGACTCTGTACAGCCTAAACGAGCCGGCCACGAACAACTTGACCCCGGCCCCAAACATGTCATTTTATTGACGACTGCTTCTATAATTATGGGGAGTTCAACGCAGGATTCACAAAACGCTTGCTGTTGAAAGATGGCTCAGTACCCTGTTTATTTGGACCAGCTGAATCACAACCTGTAAGTTTGATAAATAATAGATGTTTATATTTTCTATCGAGCATTCAAAATACGGAACTATTGAAATAGGCGTAGCGTTTCTGACACGCGCTAAATGCGCTGTACCAATCACAACAGACTGGAGCATCTGACCAATCAGAGCAGAGCAGGCTCACTGAAGGGATGGGTTTAGAGAGACTGAATCTTTGAACCGCTTCGAACGAATCGTTTGAGAATCGTTGGAAAATGAGGTGATATTAAATGCATATTTAGAGAAAACAAAAGCGTTTTTTGACCTTTCATGCATGTAATCCTATTGTAGGAGACTCCCAAAACAATATTAGGAACCTTAAAAATGGCACAATAGGGCCACTTTAATGACTTTGTAATCGTTATTTGTAATCGTTAAGGCTGAATCTTTTAGTGTCTTCAAATCTGCTCTTAAAACCCATTTTTTTCAGAATAGCTTTTAAGTGATTTCTCTGTGTTATATGTATGGTGTTTATTTTACTTTTATTTTATTTATTGTTATTATCATCTCTATTACTATTATTATTATTTTATCCTTTTTATCTGTGTAAAGCGCTTTGAGATGTACCTTTTAAAGGCCCTATAGGAAATAAAGTTTATTATTATTATTATTGTTATAAAAGTATGTAAAATATATGAACACGACTTTACATATTTGTCTATATAAAATGTACATTTGTACTTGTCATGCAAATGTTGTAATATTAATATAAAAAAGAGCTGTAATACAGTTCAAATTTCAAATAATGGGAATTAGGAAAAACATCTCAAAGTAAAATTTCTAAAATGTATCACAGTAATGAGAAATTGGCTTAATGGCTTTGTAATCTTTATAAAAAATACTGTATGTAAAATATACTAACACAACTTTACTTATTTTTATATATAAGATCTGTAAATTTGTATATATCATGCAAATTTTGAAATAAAAAGTCATTCATATATTTTCTTTTGATTTTAGGGGAAAATTTGACCTGGACATATTTTTCAGATTCACCCACATAACAATTTTTTTTTAAATAGTTAATTTTACATCTTTGTTCTTTACACCTATACACACATCCACAAACAGACACAGGCACATGTTTTGCGAACACAGCCTCATCGTCTGCATTCTTTTTTCAAGATAGGTCAGGTATTGGAAGTTTGGAACTACGAAGTGTTTTGACTGAAAAATACAGGCAGTTTCTGTGTAGCGCGAGGCTCTGGCCGCCTGCGTTAAGTCTGCTTCCCATCAGCCATCACTCGCCTGCCACTGTTTATCTTATTCCCACCATCTCCGTTCGGCTGCCCTGATGCTTCCAGCCAAACGGCCCGATGTCTACGAGAGCGACCTTAAAAAAACGCCCTTTGAAACGCAGACGGAGAACAGCTAGAGTTCTTCACAAGCGATCCGTTGTTCCCGGGTTAAAGAACGGCACCTTCACTCCTCATGGTGGCAAAGACAGCTGCCACCGTGCATATCCCAGAATGCCATGCTGTGTGCGAGTGTGTCCAGCGGTCCCTGGTGCTTGACGGAACCATGTGAGGCTTGTGTAGGCGGCGGCACATGGTTAGATCAAGCACAAGAGACAGCTGCACCAGAGGCCAGAGTGGAGGAGCGGAGCGGGACGGAGAGGCGGGGAGGAGGAGGAGGAGGAGGGAGCAGCCAGGACACAGCAGCCAGGAAGCCACCCAGAACTCTGGGCCACCATGCACACAGGTGGGCCGGCCCCTTTCCCTCGTCCCAGCATGGACATTACCCCGCTGGGAATACAAGGCCCGAAAAGACAGACAGACAGAGAGACAGACAGACAGGGACTAGAAAGACACACACAAAAAGACATCACAGAGGAGAAAGGAGTGGAGCAAAGTCCTCTGCCACACACACACACACACACACACACAAAACACAGATTTTCATGTGCAAACATGGTGGAAACACACGCTAGGGACCAGTAGTGGGTTTGTGTGCACTTGTTATTGTGCTGATATACTGACAGAAGTTTAATGAGAAAAACCTGTAGCTTAATATCAACGCAAACAGTGGCTGCACTTCTCCTACCAAATCAGTTCCCTCAGGGGCCCGTGCTTTTGGCTGCGTGTGGGGGCCCAGTTCCAACTCGTAAAAACATCCTCTAAAAAGGCATCTTCATTCTGCTTCAGAACAGCCAGCATTGTCCTATTAGCACTCTGAAACCTGGCAGTGTGTGAGAAGAACTGCTCCAGGCCAGAGTATGCCACACACACTCATATAGGAAAGGGACGTCACTGAATGTGAGGAGCCTCAGTGTGAAGAAGCATGTAAGCAGCAATTGGAGGGCCAGAACTCCAAGTGCAAGTCACTGTGCACAGCCTAGTGGACTCACTGTGGGTGGGACAGGTGGGCGGTAGTAGCCTGAGTAGATTCACTCACTTGACTGACTGTCTTTCATAAGGTGTACAATCCCTTTGTTAACTTGGACCAAAAACAACCATAATTTAGCTGTACACTACCATTTTCCACCTACTAATTGAATTTAAACAGGGTTTTTTTTGGCTACTGGTTTGTACGTATTATACTATTTTTATTCAGCAAGGATTGCATTAAATTAAATTGCATGCATTAAATTGATCAAAAGTGACAGTAAAGGCTTTTACATTGTTACAAAACAGTAGCCTGAGTAGATTCACTCACTTGACTGACTGTCTTTCATAAGGTGTACAATCCCTTTGTTAACTTGGACCAAAAACAACCATAATTTAGTTGTACACTACCATTTTCCACCTACTAATTGAATTTAAACAGGGCTTTTTTTGGCTACTGGTTTGTACGTATTATACTATTTTTATTCAGCAAGGATTGCATTAAATTAAATTGCATGCATTAAATTGATCAAAAGTGACAGTAAAGGCTTTTACATTGTTACAAAACATTATATTTCAAATAAATGCTGTTCTGTTGAGTACCATGGTTTTCACAAAGATATTAAGCAGCACAACTGTTTTCAAAATGGATAATATAAGAAATGTTTCTTGAGCAGCAAATCAGCATATTGGAATGATTTCTGAAGATCATGTGACACTGATGACTGGAGTAATGATGCTGAAAATACAGCTTAAATTTGAAACTATATTAAAATAGAAAACTATTTATTTTAAATTATAATAATATTTAACAATATTACTGTTTTAATGTATTTTGATCAAATAAATGCAGCCTTGGAGATCACGAGACTTTTTTCAATGCTAACGCTTTGACACATTTTGAGAGTCCACTTCAGACGTTCTAATAACTGTAAGTAACTTTGTAACTACATGTCAACTAGCAGTCATTAGAGTATTAGTAGACTGTCTGCTTAATATCTAATAACACTTTATTTTGATGGTCCATCAACAGATATTCTACTGACTATAAGTAACTTTGCAAGTGCATGTCAACATACGCTACTGACCCTAACTTAACAGTTTACTAATACTTTAATGAGAATTGTTTGACACGTAGTTGCAAATTAATGAGAGTTAGCTGACATGTACGTATTTGCTTATAGTTAAATAAAATAAAATGCAACCCTTTTAAAAACACACACACACACAAAAATCTTAACAACCCCAAACTTTTGAATAGCAATGTATTTTTACGTTTTCGCATTTGAAATAAGCAGCCAGCTACCAAGCTACTGAATACTGAACATGAAGTGAGCGATCATGTTACAATGTCATAACATTTTGATTTCTAAATGACCCATTTTATATCTTAGTGTGAATACATATTCTGAGTGGACCGCCTTGTGAATGTTAAAGTATGTCTACACACTGTAGTATTGTTTCATTTCACTCAAAGTACCAAGTAAAACACAGTGTGCAGGTGTGTAGCTATACCTGTGCAGCGGAACTTCTTGCCCTTGACCTGACTGATGCGTTTGTTGGCAAGGCGCCGCGGATGGCTGCATCGAGCTCCGCTGGTCTCAATTGGATTGTCGAACAGGTAGTCTGCCAGCCACTTCAGATGACAGTCACACATGAAGGGATTCTGAGCGAGGTGTCTACAGAGGGCGGACATAATGATAAATCAAAACGCTTAATTAGAGTCAAGGGAGTATGTATAGTCAAACAGTAATATCCTGTGATAACAATATGATTCATAAACATGAACTGTTTTTTTTCAGTGTTAAGGTTTTCATTTGTTTAGTTCACATTTATCTCACTGCTGTTAATGTTGTTTTGCTATCTACTTGCAGCTAATTAATTGCGAGGTGAAGGCAGTCCCGCTCAACAGTTGCTTAGAGACTGGAGTCTCTTGGACTGAGTGTGGGTGTGAAAAGTGGAGTGTTTATGTGTGTGTGTGTAACTCACAGTGTTTTGATGGTGCGCAGAGGAGTGAAAAGGCCTTTGCTGATGGTCTGAAGCTTGTTGTCGTAGAGGGACAGCAGGTTGAGGTTCTGGAGGTCTTTGAAAGTGTTCACTCGGAGACAGTTGATCTTGTTGGCATTCAACAGTCTGAAAGAGTAAACAAGTTTCATTTGACGCTTTTTTTATTATCAGTATAAACACACAATAAAAAAAACAAAAACAAACTAAACCCTAAAAACTGCTTTAAGCTCAGCTATAATATTTATGTTTAATTTAAACTTATAATAAGCACTTTCTTACCAATTGAGCTATGGTAGAGAGCACATAGCGTCTAAGTGGCAACCCTCCAAACCAAAACAAAACTAAACAAGCGAAGTAAAGCAAAACAAAACAAGCAAAGGAAAGCAAAGCAAAGCAAACCAAAACAAAACAAGTGAAGTAAAGCAAAACAAAACAAGCAAAGGAAAGCAAAGCAAAGCAAACCAAAACAAAACTAAACAAGCAAAGTAAAAAAAAGCGAAACAAAACAAGCAAAGTAAAGCAAACCAAAACAAAACAAAACTAAACAAGTGAAGTAAATCAAAGCAAAGCAAAACAAAACAAGCAAAGGAAAGCAAATCAAAGCAAAACAAAACTAAACTAAACAAGCGAAGTAAAGCAAAACAAAACAAGCAAAGGAAAGCAAAGCAAAGCAAAGCAAACCAAAACAAGCGAAGTAAATCAAAGCAAAGCAAAACAAAACAAGCAAATTAAACCAAAGCGAAACGAAACAAAAAAAAAAGTAAAGAAAAGTGAACTGAACCAAACAAACCAAAAAGCAAAACCAAACAAAACAATGTAAATAGTTTAATTGCAATAAATTTGCCATTGTGTCATGTATGCTGCTCTTGATGACTGATGATTATTTATTGTATTACAGAACGCTGAACTGTATAATCAGTCACCCTGTCAAAGCCCCTTTCAGTGCAGTTCCTGAGTAGGTGCAATGGGTCCAAGTACATGTTTCTTAAGGGTATTTTGTGAAAGACTTAAGAGACAATAAGGACTTTTTATTTTCAATTTGCCTGACTGAGCGGAAAGTGCTGCTCTCGCTGAATGATTTTATGTTTTGCTTTAAAACCTCTAGTGCAGAGCATGATGGTTGCAGTAAATTCAGTAATCTGCGCTGTATCAGTAAAGATGAGCAGTGTGCAGACTTCAATGGGGATGAAACTCACAGTGTGGGATCCACAAAGTGTCCAAAGCTGTGCAACTTGATGTAAGCATCAGAAACATATTCAGATCTATAGATGTAATTTACTTGGTTCACAGATCATTAATTTGAACAAAACCGGAATGAATGTGTTGTCGATGAACTGCTGGAGTATTCAGCTGCTGAGTTGCACCCATCACTCCTGTCATGTCACGCACTCCTCACTGACTTCCAGCCGCCTTCGCGTCTCTCCCATTCAGGCCGCCTGACAATTGACTAACGCAGTCATGTGCTTAATTACTGAAAGCCATTGTAATGAGGTTTTGTCTTGCAGCAAACGCATGCATCGTTAGTCTACTCACAGGGTGAACTAATTAGGTTTGAGTATCTCAAAAAAAAACAAAAAAAACAAAAGACAAACAGAGCGAATAAAACCATACACAACAGAAAGAAACACAGAAATGCCAAACTAGCTTTGCAAAATTGGTGGAATGCCCAGAGGTGTACCTTTGAAAGGGTCTTATTAAGAAAATCCATTAAGGATGAAGAACTCTAATTGCTGAAAACACAGATAATTTGTGTCATTATGGCAGTTGACAGTGAAAACATGGGCCGGGCTGCTCCAGTAAATCTATGGCGTTTTAGAAGCATAAAGCATAATAATGTGAGCGTATTTTTGTGCCCGCGGCAGCAGTGTGTACGTTAAGAAAAGCGGAAGCCATCAGAATTTCCTCAAATCATTAGAATAAGCTGAAACAGGCCCATTAGAGCCGAGAGATTCACCTCAATTTGGACCATTAAATGCAGAAATTATGTCTGAGCAATGTTTCCATGTCTACACAAATATAAGTAGGTGTGAGGGACATGTTTAGCAATCAAGACCAATTTACATGCTAATGATGTCGAGAGTGTTCGCCCAGAGGAAACGAGAATAAAACTTGATGCTTCTTTCAGCAAAAACACTACATGCTCTCCTCAAATCTTTAAGTGCTTTTCTTCCTTTCATGAGGAAAAAGGGAGAGATCAGGCTTTCCAAAAATGGTAGTGATCAAGTGCTACTTATATTAAAGTAAATATATTAAATATCAAGCACATAAATAGAGAAATTCAGAACATTTGTATTTTTTTAATTCTAATTGTTCAGATAAATTGTTATGATACCAAGATAAAATACTATAAAATAATCTTACATTTATTAAAATACATTTTTAAAATGTTTTTTAGAAGTATCTTATGCTAACCAAGGCTGCATGTATATGATCAATAATAAAATAAAAACAGTAATGTTATGACATTATTACAATTTCAATTTTAATTTAATTTTAAAATGTCATCAGTGTCACATGATCCTTCAGAAATCATTATAATATGCTGATTTGCTGCTCAAGAAACATTTCTGATTATTATCAATATTGAAAACAGTTGTGTTGCTTAATATTTTTGAAATATAAATATTTTGTAACACTATAAATGTCTTTACTGTCACTTTTGATCGATTTCATGCATCCTTGCTGAATAAATTATTAATTTCTTTGACTGGTAGTGTAAAAAAATCACTAGTGGTGAAACCTGGACCCCAATGCATATTAACACACACACACACACACAGCAATCATCATCTTGACATTGAAGGTTATTGAGTCATAAATGCAGCACTCACAGCAGCTGCAGGGAGACCAGGCCATCAAACAGTCCCTTTGGGATCTCTGCGATTTTATTTCCATACAGGACCCTGTAGATACACACAGATACAATGTAAATAGAGAACAATGACTCAACCCACAATGTTTCAATATGTCTAGCCCATGTGCAACACATCAAGCGAGTATGTATCTTTCTTAAAGAAGCTTTCATGTTTTTCAAAAAAGCAGGCAAAATCATGACAGTGGTACATAATACTAGTCCTCTGAAGTCATGCGATATGATATAGCTGTATGTGAGAAACAGACTGAAATTTGTCAGTAAAGTTACTGATCATGTTATAGCTGTTAAAGGCAGGGTAGATTATTTGGAGAGGTAGGGCAGATGTCCTAGTTTTCAGGGAATACTGATTTATATTTCAGTCACAAAGCTATCGTATGGCTTCAGAAATACAGTGCATGACTATTTTTATGACAATTTATGGTGTTTTGTGTCCTTTTGAAGTTCTCCATTCATAGCAATTGTGTTTTGTGTTCACAGAAGAAAGAATGAGTTCTAAACAATGTTCACTTTCGGCTGAACTATTCCTGCAACACACTCTAATTTCCAAGCAAACGTGTGGTCGTGTGTTTATGTCATCTTGCACATCCTCTTTGCTTTATTCCTATTCCCTGAGAGACTGCAGCCCATCTTGCACCCCTCAGCGTCTCTTTAATCACGCCGCATGTGTAAATGAGCTCTGTCTCGTGTACAGCTGTGTGGGCCGGACGCAGGGAGATAGATCTGACCAAATTAATATGCGCACGCTGAGTCTTCCGGCTCTCTCTGACTTGTTGAGGTGATTTAAATGAAAGTTCTCCCTTGTGTTCACGCTGCTGCAGATGATGCAAACACACACACACACACACACACACAGACAGCGAATGACACACACTCAGGCAGACAGGAGGCTGTCTCGTCTCCATTCTCTCAGCCTCCTGTCAACTGATTTATTCGACACCTGTCCTTTCACCTGACTGTTACATTTACGCATGCCTATTATCTTTGTAAATGTATTACTGTGCAGCTCAGGTGTATGAATTTTGACATGTGTGTGTGAAAAACACTTACAGTGAAGTGAGTGAGCGCAGGCCACTAAACGCATCTTCCGCAATCTCAGATATCTGATTCTTGCTCAGGTCTCTGTAATGACATAAATAGAGATAATACAGCCGTCTGTTAAACCAACAAAGGGGGGCTTTGCACATTTGTCTGACAGGACATCGATACGCCATAAATACCCAATAAACTCGATACTGAGGAGAAAGAACATGAGAAACTGCCTTGTGATCATCATTAGCATCTAATCTTTAAAGACGTAGTTCACCTAAAATTGAAAAGCATTTACTTTTTCTCACGTTAAGCTTTCACATGACTTAGATTATAGCAAAATTAGCTGTGTGGACCAGTTTTTAGCTATTTAACTTGGCAATGACAAGATTTTCTCAGTTTTGGGTTGTTGGGGTGGAAATAAAGTGGTTGTGAAAAATGTACACAAATTCTTTTTTTTTTCTTAGGTGTGTTTGCTTGAGCATATTCTTCAAAATACTGAGTTATTCACGTCAAGGCATCACTGCCAACGCAGAGGTGAGAAGATCTGAAGTTGTGTCTAAAATACAGATTTTCTTGTGCAGGGTGACATGCCTCGAGAAACTGCTGTGCGTGTTATGAACCCTTCTACTATTTTTTCAATGCGGTTGACAGGAGATCACTTGCAGCAGGTATAGGGTTCATACATATGCTGAAAAAGTATAAAAAGAAAGTGTGTATATTTCTAGATGTGTCAAAATAGAGGAATGTTTAGCTGATTTTAAAGTGTTTTTTGGATGTACACTATCGTTCAAAAGTTTAAGGTCAGAAAGATTTTTGAAAGAAGTCTCTTATGCTCACCCAAGGCTGCATTTATTAAAAAAAGAACAGCAATATTATTACAATTTAAAATAACTTATCTATGTGAATATATTGTAAACTGTAATTTACTCCTGTGATCAAAGCTGAATTTTCAGCATCATTACTCCAGTCTTCAGTGTCACATGATTCTTCAGAAATCATTCCAATATGCTGTTTTGCGGCTCAGGAAACATTTCTTATTGATTAATATTTTTGCAGAAACCATGCTACATTTTTTTTCAGGATCAGATCAGTATAGTGTAAATAGTGTGAGGAAGTTCTTACATTCTCTTCAGTTTCTTGTACGTGGAAAACGCTCCTGCTGGGATGCCCTTGATCATGTTCTGCTCCAGACGGCTACATGGGAACAGATGGATATGTTTTGTTACACAACGCTGACTTTTCCATTACACTAGTAATTGCGTATAATAAAATTACGAAACAAATATGGCACAGCAGAGAAAAGAAAACGATGTAATATTCCTGTAGGTGTTTCGCAAATGTACATGCACCATATCAGATTTATTCCACTCACAACACAGATCTGCTGGTAATTTCATTTCTCAACGTCTGAAAGCATGTGGAGGAGTGTTTTACGGGCCCACTCTTAAAAAATAAATGTTTCAGCTAAAACCGAAAGGCCTGATTTTCAGTTCCAAATAACGTGGTTCTTTAGCTCTTTATGTAACCATCTACTGTATATACACTCTTAAAAATAAAGGTGCTTCAAAAGGTTCTTCAAGCGATGCCATAGAAGAACCATTTTTGGTTCCACAAAGAGCCATTCAGTCGAAGGTTCTTTAAAGAAGCATCTCTTTCTTACCTTTTTGTAATCTGAAGAACCTTCTTTCGCCAACAAAGAACCTTTTGTGAAACAGAAAGGTTCTTCAGATGTTAAAGGTTCTTTATGGAACCATTTAGACAAAAAGGTTATTCTATGGCATCGTGAAGCACCTTTATTTTTAAGAGTGTACTTGTGCTTTAAAAAAAATCAGAAACCATTATGCTGATCTGAATAACCTAATCCATTTTTTTTTTAAATACATATTTAGAATGATTTCATTTATTAAATTTTTTTTATTTATTATCGGAAACAGAGCTATAGAGCAAGAGTGAAGAAAATGTTCTTGATGAAACAAGGGTGCTTTCTCAAATCTAAAGTGCTCAAAAAAAAGAGTCTTTCGTTGAAGAACTTTTTGTTTTTGAGAGTCTGGCTGGTACTTAAGGCTCCTTCAGGAGGTCTACAGAGAAAGCCATCTAATGCTTTATGGCAGCCTGTACACTGAGTGTTCAATTTGTGTTTTGGCTCACTGGGATAAAAGGACAGAGAAAACAAGTCCCTGAGAAATAAGCACAGCTCTCTGCATGCTCCAGGTTATACATCATTTCATTAGCCCAATTTGTTTTTGGCCATGGGCTCGGTTGAGCTAATGTGTCCAAGCCTGCATATCCATTTATTATGCAAAGGTCATACACTATTGACATAACAACAAAGGCGAGGAACAGCACATATCAGGGCAATTACCTACCTGTCCTTTAGTGCAAACAAGGATCTCTGAATCAATATGGATACCAAATACCCTGACCAAGATGATATGGACGTTCTCCAAAGCACGAGAACATTCAATCAGCCTGAGGCAAGACGGCCAAAACACATTGGAAAAACTCAAGTGTTTTCTTTGTAACAGTATGCATGTTTGTGAGTGTACTGCTGCTCTGCTACATGATCATTAAACACGACATCCCAGCCTTATGCGCACAATGGAAATGTTGGCCTTGCAAATTTCCCATGCGCAACCGAAACGTCCTTGTTTATTGGAGGAACCCGCAAAACCTCTTTTGGACGTTCTCTTGTATTTGAAGGACTCCGAATACAGAAGTGGCTGGAACAACAACAAGGTCAGATGTTTTAAATGCCGACGCTGTATGTATTACAATAATTTGATGGCTTTTTAATAGGAATGCTAAAGTTAATCTGCTAACATTAGCATTACGCAAGCTAACATACCCGGCACAATGAAGTAAAGGTCATATAAAAAAGTTAATAGGCAGAAAAACTGACAATAGCATTAATCTAATAGTTGCTTTAAAAAACTGTGGCTTTCTCATAAAAAAATATGTAACTGTAGACCTTCAAAGACAGCTAAGAGAACAGAGAATAGGTTTTAGAGAATATCCTCCAAAATGAGTACAAAAGTGAGGTTTCCTTGTGAGACTGTCTAGAATTATCCACGTTTGGGATTTCAAAAGTTTTGGTACTAAAATAAAAGAAAGGAAATGATAACTTTCTACTACTGAGAACAGGTTCAGTTCAAGGTCTTGGTTAAAATACGCCTCTTTGTGAAGTGTTAATATAAATGTAATGTAAGACAGTCGGTTATGTCACAGTGTAAATGCAACCTAATAGATCTGCTGCTGCTTATTATGTTGTTAATATTAATCAAAAAAACACTACTAGGTAGTGCTGTCAATCGACTAATTAATCGCACATTAGAAACAACATAAAGGTGGTATATTTTAAATATGTGTTTAATGGCATCTTTTTACTAAGTAGCCTATTATTAATGAAGGCCAGTATCACATTGCTTACTTCTACTGATGTCTCTATTAAATTAATTTCCCTCAGTTATAGACATTAATTATAGCCATTCAACATCACATAAACTATAAATTGTACATGCATAAACTATACATTTAATATAGATTAATCGTTATTCAAGCAACAAACGTTAACCAGCGAAGAGCTGTGAGGGATTTCTCTTCTTCGTTTGTTCTCTGATTTATATCAATGACGGACAGATGGCAGCAGGTTTCACTTTAAAAGCAGTGCTGTCTCTTTAAAAGCTGACGCACATGACGTGGATCTGAAACACATCCGATTTTCTCACAACTCTTTACGGTCATTTAGGACTTTTAACTCATTTAACCTCTTAAGACCCGGCAAAACATTTTAGGAAAAAATTTTTATTTTTTCATGTCATTACATTGTTTAGAGCATTAAAAAAATGTAAAAAAAATTGTTTAAATGATATTTCATTCATAAGTTATGCTACGTCCTTGGTAGAGGACATCGGGACTCAATTTCTTTAAAAAAAGATAAAAAGACATGAATGAACATGCATAGGCAAAAAAAAATTTTTTTTAATTTTAAATCTTTTTTTTTTAATTTTTTTTTATCTTTCTTTCAATATTTTAAATCACCAATACATTTTTAGTTTTTAGGATTTTTTTTTTTTACCAGACTTTGTATAAAGATAATTCTCTACTATGCTATAACAGAATTATTTTATATACAATTTTTCTTCATGCAAAATGTGTGTAAAATGGCCATAAACAGGTTTTCTCATTATATATAATGTATCTATAAACTAAATCTAATTTGCAATTTGTGTTTTTGGGGCAACATGTAATGAAGAAAGAAGTGTAATAATGGGAGTAATAATTGACAAGATTTTCATAATAATATATAATATTTCATAGGAATATTGAAATATATTTTCTTTCCCTGTTCATTTGTTGTGTCTCCCAAAATGCGTAATAAACATAGATATCCTCTTATGAGGACATGTATGAAATCAACGTCCTGTTTCGTAACAGAGTCATATTTTGATTTGAAATCCCATAACATTTTCCTGAGATGTTGATTAATAAAAATTCATCAGATTTAAATGATAATTTCAAGATATTAGCATATTTCCATAAGAGTGTCACTAAATTAATATCAGACATTTTTGAAGACCAAGGAGAGGGAGTGGTCGTGGTGAAACATCCAAACATTTAGTATCTCTGAAAAGCCCTGAATGTGCTCTGTACAGGACATCCAGACTTAAAACTGTGGCATGTATAGTCTCAGAGAAATTCACTAAAATATAATGTCCTCATATGAGGATGCAGGGTCTCTGAGAGGTTAAGTGTTCACGAGGTTACTCACCAAAAACGGGTATTATGTCATCATTTTGTGTTTTTTTGTGTTTTCATATAGTTTACTGTAATCCTAGCCAAAGGATGGTAGGAAAAAATGGATACTGCGTTAATTGCGTCAAATATTTTTAACGCATTAAACTGAAAAAAAAAACCATACAACAACAAAAAAAACGCACAATTAACGCCTAAATTTTGACAATCAACTAGAAAGAAAAAAACCCCTCACTAACCGTCTAATTTTGTTTCTAACCATTTACTTGAATAGTACCTTGGAACAGCTGTTGTATGCTGTGATGAAATGGCACAGACACTGGTATTTTGGTATTTGGTAACGTACTAAAAATTAAAATCTTTGTATGGAAGTCTATGAGAACACTCGATTCTCAGCCAGTGTCAAATCACCCAAAAAGGGGCAGTACTCCACATATACTATATACTGAGACAGAACAAGCAGTCTACAGTGACTGCAACCGTAACACTGTGGTTGAATGTGACATAAAAAAATCCCTCCCTTTCACACTTTGGTGGTGCGTCGCCCTAATGAAGAAACCCGTTTCATATCATATCACAGACAACTTCAGCAGGCCTGCTTGAATCTGCAGATAAATCTCAGGTTTCCTGGACATTAGATTGGGCTCAGTATAACCCACCTCATTTTGATCCTTGACTGGTGGTCTAATTACCTAATCCATGCAGAGAGGATGGTAGACCTCTGGTAGCACTGAGCAAGATCTATCTGCAACCGCGCCATGGCGTTAACGCACTCGCTAATGAGGCTGCTACACCACACTGCTAATGGCCTTTGTTACATGACAAGCGGAAGAAGGCAGATCACCGCACAGACAATATCAGCGGAAAGTAATTATCACACAGGCAGATTTGACACAAATAGAGAAGGGAATTATTTTGAGGAGAGGAATCCATACATTTCTACAATTCCCTCAGGCAGGTTGGCAGGAATCTCCATCAGGCCTTTTTTACGGCAGTCTACGATGTTGCTGTTGCAGGTGCAGGCGGCGGGGCAGATGGAGGCCTGGGGAGCGCATGACCTTGGCTCCTTCTGAGCAGTACCTGAGGAGGAGGAAAAGATGGAAAAATAACAGATCAGGAGGAAAACTGACTATAGACAACATGGTTTAATGACACAAGAAAGCAAATGGAGAACACAGGGAACATTAAAACCATTTTGAGTCAAATATGAATAGAATAACATTCTTTCTGATAGCAGTTATAACTGTCATGTAGCTTCTGTTCAGAAGTGTGAAAATTAATATTAGTTCCAATAACAGCACAAATGAAGACGGGTGAAAATAGCTTTTAATACAGCACATAATCAGCGCGAATAGACTCCCTGTTGTTTTATTGTCTAGCTTTGCAGCTTAATTAAGAAACGCTTTTTCTTGCAGCGTGTTTTGTGTTGGAGTATATTCATCAGTTGATTAATCAGAGGGGGAGGAAAATGGGGCTTAATTAACTAGAGCTGAACGTGAACTTTTTCACCAATGAAACCCAAAGGTCCATTAAGAAATAAAATGTATGGAGTGGCTTTATAAAACAACACAACACAACAAAAATTATGTACAGACCTTTAAGATTTTTCCACTGTGAAATTATTCTCATAACAAATATATTTAAACACTCCTCCTATCATTTTCAATACCATAAAGTGAATGAATGAAAAAAATGAATAAAGATATAAGTAAATAAATAAATATCTGTTTAGTTATTAACATCAGTGTAAATAAATAAGGTTCGAAAAGCATGCTTAATTTTCAGAATCAGAATCAGAATGAGCTTTATTGCCAGGTACTGTATGTTTACACATACAAGGAATTTGTTTTTGTGACAGAAGCTTCCACAGTGTAACAGAATGACAGGGACAGAACAAAAAACACAGATAAAAAAAAATAAAAAAATAGAATAAGTAAATAAGGAATAAAAATATATAAATCGACAATTGTATGTGCAGGTATATTACAATAGACAGTTTTGTATGTACAGGTACTGTATATTATGTGCAAATTTTAGGTGTAGTTCATGAGATAGATTGCCTGAGGGAAGAAACTGTTCCTGTGTCTGGTCGTTCTGGTGCTCAGAGCTCTGTAGCGTCGACCAGATGCACCACTGGCGATTTCAGCAGGGGGCGACGGTTTTAATAGAGCTTTTCCCATTACAAATCCAGTATCTGGCCCCCTGTCTTTGCGGATTAATTACAGATGAGTGGGATTACAGAGATGGATGACATGGGGAGAAGGAGCCTCGGCTACCTCAGGTGCGCATGGGATGAGCCGAGGACAGGCAAAATGGGGCAGCTCCACGTGTACACACACCCTATCGACCGTGGTACACAGAAAATGTCTGCTTGTCTAGCGGTGGGAGTGCTTTTCATTTGTCTGAATTATTGAATGGCAAGCGTCATGGGGTGATATCATTTGATCTAATTGAATGCACAAAGATAGTACGTCTGTAGAAGTGCAGGTGAGGTGGGGGAAAGGTGAGGTGAACTGGACTATTTCATCAGAAACCTGGAGCCAAACCACCATCCTACTAAACGGATTACCAGCATCTCTAAACATTTGATTTAATAAGTTGTTTTTATGAGCAACAAATTCAATATAGATATATCAGGGATATTAGAGACAGAAAATTCAATCCAAAGGAACTGGGAAGCAACCAAAGCCTCGCTGTGGATAATTCAATACTGCCCAGGGAGCAACGCGCCTGGCCATCCGAGCATCAGCAAATTCAATCCCGCATGAGGGGGCTGGCCTGTCTGATGGGAGGGAGGCCAGACTGCTCGGCTGTGGAGCTCGAGTTATGGATGACTCCGAGTCCAGGCATCAGGGAGAACACTCTATGGCTATGATGGAAAGAGGAGGAGAGATAGATGGAAAAAGAAATGACTTATTGAAGGAGGAAGCTACGAATATGTGCACAATAACCCTTAAGCCTTGAGTTTCATAGAGAGATTAAAATTCCCAGAAGCCCAAAAATCAAACTAGCGTTTACTCCTGAGATATTTCTTTATTTATTCCTCTATTAGAGCCAAAGCTCTGAGAAGAACGACCACACTCGAATAATAACAAAAGCATCTCTGAGTCCTGTTAATATCGCAGGTCAGCCACAGACTGGAACGCTTCGGGCGAGGTTTGGGGACTGTGTAATTATTTATATCAATTGTGGTTTGGGTCTGACAGTGCAAATGCAGAGTAGCGACACAGGCATCTGTGTAAGAAAACCATCTCAGCATCTTCAGCTAAGACAATGTCTGCTGCACAAACAGACCACAGCTCTGAAAACTGGCACGGCGTCACCACAGAGCCTGGAAGAGGGCTCGAGTCAGGCAGCAAATCCTCTCTAAAAGAGTGAAGATTTAGCATTAACGTCTCTAAATGTAGATATATGAATGTCTGATTGTATAGCATTACCATGAAGTGGACAAGAAGCTCCTCAGTACTTACAGTGTCCGCAGCTTGGGCATGTGGTTGAAGCTTGACAGCGGGATGAGGGTGATGTTGTTGTTGTTGAGAGTGCTAGAAGGAAAAGAAGAGAGAACAAATATTAGAAAAAGGCATTTACTTAGTAAACAGACAGCGAGTGACTCCAGATAACATTTAGGAATGAAGACCAGACCATGCACAACAGTGTTTTGCTGAATTCACTGAACCATATATGTATGCAAGCCTGTTTCCTTAGAGTAAAAAATAAAAAAGTAATTGTTAGATAACTTTTTTAATTAGAAAAAGTCACTGGGAGTAGTGTGTTCACATAAGCGTATAATGGTCTGAATGATATCATCAATGATGTGCACACTTATAATTATGGATGGCGGTGCTCTCTGCTTCCTGTCATACCAGCCACAGTTCTAATTAGTGCTACTTAGTTGACCTAATCTTGCAATCAATCCATCCCACCCCATAACCCCCTAACCTATCGCACACATGCAGAAGACACAGCCTCCTGTACCTCCACCTCTTGGACAAGGGTCTGGAATTTCTCAATTTAGGATTTTAATGGTTCCTGCTTGGTGAGGAAAAACTGCAGAATCTCTCAGACTATGCCAACTCAGTTTACAGCTTGGGTTTGGGGTCTGAATGTTCCTTCTAATGAATCCTCCAACAGCCCCTCTTGAGTACAGTGCATCCATGATTTACATTTATGGATTTGGAAGATGCCTTTTATCCAAAGTGAATTAGATTGCATTCAAGTTATACACTTTTGTTTTGTTTCCAATTCATTCATTCCTGGGAACTGAACCCATGACCATGTTCTACTGTTTGAGCTACACGAAGACAAACAGTCTCATAAACTCAGAGCCTACTGACTGATCAGACCAGCTGCTGGTCTTGCTTTTTATCCAAGGCTGGTTAATTCAGTCTCAACACAAACAAGCTATTTACACTATTTACCATTGGAGTGATCAGATTTACAATTCTGACCAATGGAAATTTCCCAGCCCGAGTCCCTTTCTTGGTACTACAAAATTGCACAAATCAGAGGAAAGCTAATCCCTCTAAAATATAACATTCTTGTGGGACTTTAAATGATATCTGAATATTGATTTTGGCTTGGATCTTTGGTGGAACACTTTATTATGAGTGATGGAAAGGAGAAAACTAACTAAATGGAATTGAAAATTATTGTTATTCTACACATAGACACACAGAAAATTCCACACAAATTCCACACAGGGTGAAGGAATCACCCTTGCGAAGAGTTGACCAAATCCGCACCAGAAATTGATCCTCTTGTCAAGGCCACTGCGGCTCAGAGTTTTCATTGCTGTTCTCTGCCGCTCTATAGAGATGTAAATAGAAGAAGCTCTGGGCAAGCCGGAGGGAGGAACGCCCTGGTAAAAGCCTGTAATACCAAACCAACATAGAGGGAAAATGCACTTTGCTCAGGAAGGACTATCTCCTATCTATGAAACCTTGGGAGCATCCTCCAAATTTAGTTGAAGTAAGTGAAGAAAACACAGAACATAAATGAATACAAGTCTGAGAAATGAAGAAGGACTGTTAAAGAGAGAACAGGATCCACAGAGAGCGGCGAACAGCTTGTGCTTGCTGTGGTAGTGCTCTCTCGCTCATTCATATTTCAGCCATCCGGTTTCCAGGATTAGAAGCTCTGAGTAAAAATAAATCTCATATAGATTTCATTCATGCAGTCATAATTTGAAAAAGCTGGAGCCGGACGGGGGCGTCACAGTTACGTTAAGTCGGCTTAAACCTGAAATGTTCATGCCGAGAGCCATGACCTTTGGTGTCTCAGCGGATCAACTGCACCTGTTATTACGGACGTCTTAAGCTTTGCTGCAAGAAACACTGAGCACTGGACCAAGGGTCTTAAAGAAGATCCCACCAGAGAGATGCTGTCTTCCGCAAGACTGTCTTCCCTTTATCCAGCCCTCCGCACTGCAGAGGGCCGGCCACTGCTGCAGCGTGGGATCTCAGCAAATAACAGTGCAGCATGAGTGGCTCGTGCTAAAGCCACTTGTGATAATTGAAGATTACCTTGAGTCTTTAAAATTCCTTTGTCTTCATCGCCGGCAATATTAAATCATTCCGTCTGTGTCGCCTTGTAGTTGACCATAAATCAAAAATGTGAGAAGGACCGCATCCACAGTGTCTCCTGAGAAAGTGCATCCAAGCTGAAACGAAATGAAATCAATGCTGGATCCTGACAAATACAGCGCTGTACAGCTTGACTGTGTAACTTTATGATTTTATTTAAAGCTCTATTGATGCAGGCGTCAATAAAACCGGGCAGCTGTTAATGTCTCACAATGCTTGGTCTTCAGACCGTCTCAGAGGGGCACGTTTTCTTTTTACTTCCCTTTCCTTTTCTCGGCTATGTCAAGAAAGCTTTCCCACAGTCGCAAAAAGCTCGACAGTGGGGTCTTGAGTGCTCTGAGGCTTTCTTCAGGCCCTCATTAGAGGGACTTGGAGAGGGTCTCTGGATACTTCACTCCAGCGTTCTCAGAGCCAGGACATTTCGAAATAAGAGTGAGGTTGTTTTGGTGGATGCAGGAGGCTGAAGGGAAATAACTGAAGTGCTCCCGGCATCTGACTTAGTGCCATTCACTTGCACAACTGAGAAATCAGGAGGCAAAGACAAGTGTTATTTGACATGGTAGGCTTGAGGAAAGTCAATACTCTTCCTGTGAGTGTGTAACTGTCCTGGTAACTGGCCGTTATTCTAAATCCCTCTGGTAAGAAATCTTGCGTTAATATACATAAATGTAAAGGATGATGGTGTTCGGCTCAACTTTTTGTCTTCTCAATCCTTTGTCTCCTTCATATGGTGTAAAATCGAGTTCTATATAGAGTAGGGAAAGTGTATAGAGTAGGGAATATACACAACCTTCACTTACTCTCTTGAAAACTCGAGTGAGCCAACATGTCTGTGATGTTGTCATGGTTCCATGGGAAACTATTATCACTACCGCAGCACAATAGTGAGTTTGCAATTCAAGCGTCCATCTGAGCAACCATTTACAGGGCATCCCTGTGTTGGGCCCTCAAGTCAAAACAAATGAATAAAGTGCCTCCAGATGGAGAGCAATTTCATTATGAGCGCTCAGACTCCACTTGTTGCAGTGTGATGGAATTCATGTGAGCAGGATGGAAATCTTTGCCATTGTTTTGCTTAGAATCGCAAGTTCAGCTACAGCACAAAGCCGCAATCAGATGTTATTCTGCTAATTCAAATAAACCCAGTGAGGATAAACACAGAAATAACATGATCTGCCGTGCATAATCCCATCCATGTGGTTTGCGTCCAAGTGTAGACTTATTAAAAAAAAAGAAACACTAGTGCTTAGCATTTGTAACTAAAAAATGGGAAGTTTTATGGCTGCTAAAACCTACCCTTTACCTCCTCTGAAAAGAGAAAAAGAGCTCTATATCCCTCGATGGTGCAGAGGATGGGAGGAGAGGTGAAAAGAACAGGTACTTCCACCCGAAAACAGACATGCTTCCACCACCATTGATGAGGCCATTATTGCACAAATGAGGAAAGATTGAATCGAAGCTCTTCCGTCGGCCTCCCTCCTCTCTCTGGCCATCCATGAGCGAATGATTAATTGAGCACAAGGGTCCGACTGCTGAAATGCCCAATTTCCAGCCCGCCCCTCCCTATCTCCCCGAGCTTTGGCGTAGACCACACGAAGATAACGCAATGGGGCCATGTCTGGTGGCAAAGCAATTTCCTGCGTTTGAAAGTGCTGTTTGTGAGCTAATGACAGCTCTCTCCCCCTCCACTCCCCTAATCCATCCTCTCATTTAGCCATCAGCTTGCCCTTTCTCCCTCCACCTGCCGGTTGTCTGTCACATAAAGACTCATCTATTGACTAAAGATTTGTCCAGTGGGAGGCCAACCCGTGTTAGAAATTAAAGATGCATGGAATATCTGATTCAAGGGAACCTGTGCTCTCAAGTTCCCAAAGCGGGACCGCCAGCACCTAGCTATCAGTCTAGAGGACAATTGTTAAATCTAAAAAGAGCTAATGTTTTTTATGGGAGCACAGGGTATAGAAATGATTAGGATAAGGGGTGGCAGGGGCCGAAAAGGAGCAAAGCTCAGTGTTATCGTTGCCAAGAGGAACATTCAAAAGGTCTTGCTTTGAGAAAATGACATTATAAGGGTAGAATAACTGCCAAACCATAAACCTGAGGAGAGCAAAATTATATTTCTCAAACCTTCCATACGAAATACACAATATTTAATTTTGTAATATATTTAGGTTTTGATCAAACGTTCCCCAAAACAATCCCTGGACGTCACCGTGACCACAGAAATGTGATAGCCTCTTCCATTCAGCATTTTTCCTGAGTCTGACGGCACGGCACGGCATTTTGTAACCAGGATTAATAATCCACCTCCTCATGCGTAAATATACACTGCAAATACTCTGGAGGTTTAACCTGGTTGGTATTTCGTGGCTCTTCAAGTGAGTCTCTTTAAATAAAAATGCGAAAGCCTCATTAAGCGAGTACATCTGTGGATTCAAAAGAAGAAGATGCCTTTGGCGAGGCCATAGTGCAGCGTGGTGCATATTGACAAGCCCTGGTGAACCGCAAAGACGTCCCTTTGGGGCACATTGCCCATGCCATCATGCTAAACTCACTTTAGTTCGACCAGCGAGGAATGTGCCAAACTGTCAAGAAAAATGTACCGTGCACACATTGACAAATGACAGCATTTGGCAGGAGGAGAGGACGGTGGTAAAATGAAAATTTGGGCCTTCTTATCAATGCATGGTGGGAAGGAAAGTCACCTTCAGGAGATGGCACGGAAATGTCTCGGCTCATAAAAAAAAATGACACAGCGGGGCAAAAAATTTCACATGATTTTACATTTGATTCAGTTCCAGAATTTTCTGTACAAAAGTGGTTATAAAATATGCAGAGGCTCCAGCGCTTGTGAGAGTGTTGTGTATAGACGAAGCTGAGTGAGGTATATGGGGAATTTCCAAAATGCTCTTTCTTTACAATAATATAAATTCCCTTCTCATATTTAATCGACCTTTTATAAAATAGCCCTAAAGGACCATTATAACATATTTGTGAGCGTTTCCACAAAAGAGCCAAGTGTTTAAAGACAGCAACAACCATGAAGTACGTATATATATATATATATTGCGCTTAGCATCATTTGAAACAGATTACATGAGACTTTATCATTGTCTCCTCTTTGCGTTCTTAACACTATAAGAACATATATCAGAACAAAATATACTTACTATAACCCTGCTGAAAAATAAATCTGCTTGAATACTTGACCAGTTGAACATTCTTCATGAACTCTTTGGCTTTATGAAAGTTTTTTAATTAATAACTGGCCAAACTCATGCTGAATATATATATATATATATATATATTGAAGTACTGTTTTAGTTTTTTGATCTCCTTATTGTAAGAAAGGTTTAAAGTTATAGTTTTTTTTTACACTCAGACCATGCCTTTCAAGCATACACCTTATTTATTATTTTTAAACAACGATTTTTCATTGCACCTGAGGAATCTTATTAACTACACTTTTTTTAACCCGCTTAACCAAAGAAAAAAAATTCTGTATATTTGACAATGGTGTATGTATGAAAATTGAGTTTGAGGCATATACCCATGAAAAATATTCAGTTATTCTTACACCACATGGAATCTCATTTATATTATATTTGAAATTTGATTTGATTTGTCTTTGGAAATTAGAAATGAGAAGCGCTACCCACGTTCGTAGTTATTAAAACCACCAACTTGAATTTCATGAATATAATAAAGATAAGGTGGACACCTTATAATGCACAGTTCCACATTGTCCATCTACATTTAAAGTGAGAATGGAAAGATACAATTGCCTGATTAGGTGTATATTTAAAAACAAAAAAGTGATCAGAATAAAAAATGAGAGCAAGCGCAAGCAGTACCCAAGTATTCAATGAAAAATAATCAAAGGGGTGCTCCTTATAGGCAGGTTTAGGTGCTCTGCAGATGGAGAACACATCATGTGCTGCTTACTGCACTTCCTTCAGCTCATTGGGATGCATGTCACGTCCTATGTGAGAAAATGTCAGAGATAGCTTTGAAGTCATTAGTTCAGTCATTAGCACAGTTATGTTAAATATAAATTACAATTCATCAGCAGAAAGGGCCGATCATTAATTCTGTGTAGTTTGGCAGGCGTTAAATCACTAGCAGTCATTTAGTTGTGGAGGAGGGTTAGCTACGAACCGCTCTGTCTAATCTCCACTCTGATCACCATCGCTAAACCCGATGGAAGTGTTGAAATAGCTCCTTGCTTTGGTATTTTGTTAGTCGCTGTTTATGGTGATCACCAAAATTTTACAGTGATCACAAAACCCACCAGTGCATGATGGGAAAGGATGGTCATATCTCTCAATTATGTCGCAGTGCACCATCTATTTTAACAGGCCTTTAATGATCACTGAAATTAAAAGATTTATTTGGCCTCTGGAGTTATGCTTAACACACCACACTCAAACAATGCATATAATACGAGCACTTGAGGTGATTAAATTACACCTCAAGTGCGCTCTGAATTGCAAAAACACACTTTAACATCACATTTTTAAAATGTTTATCATTCGTTCTTTCATTTATAACTCCAGATGTCAAATTATACTGATCTACATTGGAAAAATACACACGCTTGCCCTGAATTCCTACAATCCAACACTGGTTTAGACATGAAAACTAATGTGGTTGAATGTGTAAATGACGTCTACAACCCCTGGACATTTCTAAAAGCATAAATGAACCCTTAAAACTCCACTACGTTTCTGAATAAATAAGATGGTTTACCAGTAAAATCCATCTCACCATTAGGACAACACACAGAGACACTCTTTGGCGATACAAGTGATGGATCTCCATCTGCTGTGCTGTCATTCAGAAAGATCAGTCTTAAGACAAAGGTTAGTCTGGGCTCTAATATAACTCATGTTGGAAATCATTATCCTCACACTGAGACTTTTTTGACGAAATTACTACACCTAAACCTTCATTTTGCCATCAATTACCTAGAGGTGTCATATTCTCACAAGCTAGCTCTATAGCACAGCCAAAATGCTCAGCCATATGTTGAATCTGCTACTGGAGAACATGGTTTAAGATGTGAGGTTGAGCTTGATTACTGCGCATGGGGATATTTAGCCATGATACAGTGTCATTTGCAGACCTGTGTGTTGCAGCCTCTCCAGAGGGGTGGAGAGATGGCTCAATCAGCAGGAAAGTGATGTGTATTCATGTACCGCTGCTCTCCTTGGCTCGCCGGGGTCCCAAAGGTCTATGGCAGAATCTGGGGAGGTTCTGTATTATTTATGAAAATTGATTCCTGACTTACTCACAGTTTCTTGCTCCCAAGCTCCTGTTTTATAAGGTCATTTTATGCTCTGGTCACGAGGAGAGGACGGAGGACAAGAAATGAAATATGTTCCTATTTTTCCTTCTTTGATTCTACCTTCACCTCTAGCAAACACTGCTGGAGAACCTGCCTAATAATGATGTAATGCCGTGCTGCTGTGTCCTATGGAGCCAGGAATTAATAGAGGGGGTGGCTTGGCTCCAAGTCCCCAGTGAGTGGCGCTCATTTGGAGGATGAGTTTGGCACTTAGCACCCTGCCAATTGGCTTGATGGAGATGTGGCGGTTAGCCCCCAAACTCACCACCCCCACCCCCTCTCCTCCCCGTATATCCTGCTTCCAGCCTCTCATCCTCTCCAAGACAATCAAGGGGACACCCAAGTAAAAACAAACATAAACTCACTCACAAACACATCAAATCTCTTCTCTGCTATCAAAGCATTTACTATTAACTCTGACTAAATGTGCGACTAAACCAAAAAAGAAGAATTCCCAGCAGGCAACAGAACAGAGATCTGAGCATCTGAGTCTAACAGCTGCTTTAAAGTAGGAAGCACGATTTTACAGACATTCTAGACAGAAAACACAGTGCTTATAATGGTAAGGTGCACCTGGAAAAGTCAGGACACTTTTTCAAGCGGCAACAATGCAGCACTGGATGACAAACGAGCAACTTTAGCTGTTGCACGGACGATCGCATGCTAAGCGCCATGGTGTCAGATCGGACAGGGTGACACCGGATTATGCGCCACAGGTCCATAACGCAACACAGTTTGTCCTTTGAGAGCAATCAAGAAACACACAGACAGAGTTAGAGGAAGGGACAGCAGAGGTGAAGAGAGAGGAGAGAACCCCGCAGAGGAGGCGGGAGGGGGACTCACAGTATCTCCAAATCGCGCAGGGCTCGGAAGGCTCCATCTTCGATGCAGCTGATGTGGTTGCTGTCCAGTTGCCTGCAGATGAGAGACAGAAGTCAGCGGCATGTCTGCAGACGAGCGGGTGGGGGCTGAGGGGAGGGAGGAGGAGGAGGAGAGGTGGGGGCTGCGGGAGGGAGGTAGACACACTAACACACACACACACACACAGGGATCTCATATCTACTCTCCTCTCCTCACCGCAGTCGGGATAAAGGACCAGCTGGCTAAAAGGGGCCTGTCTGGCTATAACCTCCTCCGCCTGCAGATGAGAGACAAAAGTCAGCGGCATGTCTGCAGACGAGGGGGGGGGGGGTGAGGGGAGGGAGGAGGAGGAGGAGAGGTGGGGGCTGCGGGAGGGAGGTAGACACACTAACACACACACACACACACACACAGGGATCTCATATCTACTCTCCTCTCCTCACCGCAGTCGGGATAAAGGACCAGCTGGCTAAAAGGGGCCTGTCTGGCTATAACCTCCTCCTATCTCATCCTCTCTCTCTCTCTAGCCACACTGCTGAGTGTGGGGGCAAAGAGAGGTAAGAGGGAGAGAGGGAGAACAGGAGGCTGGCTATAGTGCACAGCCCACCCCGTCTGTCAGTTCCCTGTAAATATTAATTGCGTTTTCTCCCCCCAGCCCACTCATCCACCTCTTCTTCTTCTTCTTTTTTTTTTGAAGTCAGAAAGGGAGTAATTTCATTACATTAGAGCAGCCAATCTATTACAAGCTTTTACCGGCTTTGTCACAGAAACAATTTCATTAAAGGAAGGGGTTCGTAAATCAGCTGGGGTCACGATGCTGGACGAGCAGACGCGAGGGGCACTGCTTCTTTTTTGCTTCTTTTTCCTTTTACTTTAATTTGCAGACTTTGCCATCCGCCCCTCCTTCTCTCTATTTACCCCTCCCTCTTTGAGTTCTTAAAGGAGATGGATTTGAAAGAGGCTTGAATAAAGAAGGAGGAATCTAAGCGCTTTCCTTAAGTCATTTGTTCGGCAAACAGAGCTGCTGTGACATCTGACCCGTGACAGACACGGTGCCTTCGCGTCTTTAGAGACGGATAATAAAGAAGAACGGAACATCTCTGGCATTTCTTTCACTCCATCCCTCCTTTCTAAAAGACATGCATCTGTCTCCATAATTGCTGATGGGACAGACTGTATGGCAGCCACCCACCGCAGATGCATTAACCATCACTCTGAAAAATAAATAACCTTTATGAGCAAAAGTAAAATGTTTGTCTTTTATGTCTCTTTTTCCATCCAAAATGTATTAAGACTGGCTTCTGTTAAGAATAAAACAATAACATAAGCCAGCGCTTTGACTCTAAATTAGTGTAGTGAAATCACTTTTATAAAATGGCAACAACAGCTTATTTCTTAAAATGGCAATCACCAATTATATACTGTAAATGTATACAAATTCATTTGTTACAAAAACTGTAGCAAATATGTGTCTTTATTTACACATTGTAAATACAGACAATAAGTCTGTTGCTTCATTTTGATATATGGACATCACTGAAAATTTCAGTTCATTAAGAGAGTCAGATGTTGATTCATAAAGGATTTCTCAAACTGATTCAAACGAGTTACTAGTCCTTATGAACAATTCATTAAAAGTATCGGCTCATTTGTTCAAGAACTAGGCTACACTAAAAATAACTTGTTCATAATACCATAATATACATTTGTTCATGAATCAGGATAGACTGGTCTGCTTGCTTTCAACTCAGCAAAATACTTTTTTTTGTCATTAATTCATGGTATGCAGTCTTTTTATTTCACATATTTTGATATAAATGCTTTAAAAGAATGGCTGTTTTGCATTCATATCACAAGAAGCACCTCAACCTATCATTTTTACATTTACATTTAAGCATTTGGCAGATGCATTTATCCAAAGCAACTAACATTGCATTCAATCAGTTCAGGCATTCCTTGGGATCTGAACCCATTACCTTGGTGTTGCTAGCGCCTTGCTTTACTGCTTGAGCTACAGGAATGCATTTTTCTTTACTCAAAGGTGATTGAAACCTTATAGATTTTCTACAACAGCACCCTCCCAACAAAACCTGCTCCAAAATCTATTTCCTCACAGTTAATTTGTTAATAATAATCTCAATAAACAAAATTCCACAACAATTAATGTAGTTAATTTGCCAAACATGCAGGTGTTATTGTGGAAACTTGGCAAATTATATTTAGAATTCGAACGTGGCTCATCCAATCAGATTTCAGAGTCATACTGTCTGTATTTGAACATGTGGAGTTGATCTCTAGAGGACGTCAGTGTGATCATGTGCAAGAGACTTTTAACAATCATAATACTGAGCATAGTCAAGGGCGAATAGCTGTCTTGAATGTACATATGTGAGCGTGTGGTGTGTGGGAATATCTGCATGTTTGGTGATTGTTTGGAGAGGTGGGACATGGTAGTGGAGGGTAATGAAAGTCCCAGTTTTAATTTTCCTGCTCTAATTACATTGGCCTTTAATCATCTCAGTCATGAGCCGTATTGGCACTTTAGAGCTCCTGTCCTGCCAGTGTCCCATCTGGAGTGAACGAGAGAAAGAAACAGATATGGGTCTTCCTTCCCTTCACTAGACTATTAATCTGTCAGAGTCAGTGATGCTAACCAGCAGCCGCATGGCCGTATTTCATTCACGCTCGATAGCTAACACAGCAAATGACTCAGAACTAGCCATCAGTACAGCCAGGATGATGCTTGATCAGAGCTGCAAAATATGAATATCATATTCTGGTTTTGTTACACTTTGATTCTTATCATCTCATTCAGTCTTGTCTCTTTTCGTCACTTCTCTTTCTTACAGTCTCTTATCACTTTGTGTCTCATCTCAGTTCTTCTCTTCCTGTCTTGTCTCACTTCTGCTCATCTCATTTTTTCTCTAGTAGTCTTTGCCATCTCTTCTTTCATCTCACTTTGTATCTTCTCCTCTAGTATTGTCTCCATCTCATTTTTGACTCTTCTCTTCTCACCTCCACTCATTTTATCACTCTATCTCGCCTCGAGTCATGTCTTCTAGTTTTATATCTTATCTCTTCCTCCACATCTCATATAATTTAGTCTCTTCTTTTCTCTTCCTCTCTTCATTTTTTTTTACTTCAGCTCACCTCATCTTATTTAATCAATTTTTTCTCACCCAATCTCATCTTTTTAGTCTCTTCTCTACTCTCCTTGTCTCACTTTTTTCATATCTCATTACTGCGCATATCATATCATATTGTCACTTCTCTTCTCTTATGTATTTTCATCTGATCTTGTCGTTTTTCTTCCTCTCTTCTAGGCGCATCTTGTCTGTTCTTTTCCAGTCTTGTCTTATTGTCTCAATTCATCTTGTCTCATATTGTCTCATTACATCTGCTCTCATATGATCTAATTGTGTCTTGAGTCATATTGTTTAATTTTTTTCTGGTCTTATATTGTTTCATTTCTTCTTGTCTCATATTGTCTCAATTCACCTGGCCTCAAGTTTCATTTAGTCTGGTTTCACATTGTCTCATATTATCAAAATGAATCTGGCCTCATTATCTCATTTTGTCTTGTCTTATATTGTCTCATTTCATCCTGTCTCATTTTTTTCTAATTTCTTCTTGTCTCATATTATTTCATTTAGTCTGTTCTTGTTTCATTTAGTCTGGTCTCATATTGTCTCATTTTCACAATTCATCTGTCCTCATTATCTCATTTTGTCTTATCTCATATTGTTTCTTTTTCGTCTGGTATCATATTGTCTAATTTCATCTTGTCTCATATTTTCTCAATTCATCTGTCCTTTATCTCATTTTGTCTGATCTCATATTGTCTCATTTCGACTGGTCTCACATTGTCTCATTTGGTCTCATATTGTCTAATTTCGTCTGGTCTCATATTGTCTAGTCTATTGTCCAAATCGAACAGAAGGGCAGTCTCAGTGTGGATGGGTGTCCTGAGAAAGTGTGTGAGATCTGCTGTCTGCAGAGTCCCGTCTGCTGGGCGCAGAAGCTTGTAAAGCATACAGCGACTGCACCTGGTCTTCTCGGCCATAATTCAAACCCACGCACAGTCACAGAGTGACATTCTGGGTACAGGAGCATGAAGTAGAAAGGCTTTTATTAGCACCCATATGAGAGCCTCCCACAGGGGGACAAAAATCAAAGTGTCCACGTATCTGAAGCCAGGTAACCATACAGGACACACTGCTCTCTCAATTATACCTCGGCTTCAGGTGATGTAGTATTGTGTACTCTACATGTGCTGACACCATTGGCCTCTCCATCCGCTGTAAATAACAAATGTCAACAGAACGAATGCATGTAAGCCCATTTCCCATGAATCCACTGCTCATACAGCACCTGTTCTAATGGGATCCATACCCCGCAGACACAAGCATGTCATGTTGATATAGAGCTCATCAGGCATGTTTTCTCCAAAGGATATGCAATGCATGTGATGAGGGACTCTACAACATCACCCACACTCGATGCTTCTCGAGGTTAACATGGCCGGCGTAGCATGTCTGGTGAACAGTAGGAGGGCACGGCTAAAGCCATAAATGCAGAGGGAGATATTGTGTCTGGTTTATTAGGGTGCAACATAGACTCTCGTTAGCCGGAAGAACCATCTTGACCATTTTATCCAGATGGCCCCTCTATAAAAGGTGGAGGATGCTGGCTGAAGGCGGATGCTGACTCCAGCATGCTGTAGACTGTAAAACTGTGGAGATGCGAGGACAATATAAGAGACAGAGATTCAACCAGCCCTCAAAGCGTGCATAGCCATTTTGTAAACAGAGGACATTAAGGTAGAAAAGTATATGAGAAAATCAATTCATTCCTGGAATGCTGCCTGTCCATTTTTTTCTACTCCTTCCCGTTAAAAAAACAGAGGGCTGGATGATTTCAACAATTAAATCAAGAGTCACCTTGCCACGCATTGCAGAGGCAGGTCAGTGGGAGAGAAGCAGGCAGCGCTGCTGACGTACAAATCCATCCTTCTCCCTCAATCCTCGTTAGCCCTTTTTTCTCTAAAAAGCCCTACCTGAAGAAATGAGTGTTGCCTACCTGTACCTATCATTCATCCATCAGAGTGTGACGGTGCACATGACAGTGATGTGATGAGCACTCAAACACTGTCTAACATCACAGACATCACTGTAAAAACATCAAGGGAAAACATGTAGCACAAAAATGCTGTATGCGTGTAAGGGAAGTGAAAGCTCACAACTGCTGGGAATGTTACATTTTATAGTAATGCATTACAATATTGTCTATAAAATACAACTAATAACATTGCTGCTTTTCATTAAAAGTAATGTGTTAAATTTATTTTGTGCAATTTTTTTATGAAATATATGCACAATACTCAAAATGTATCATGCACCAAAATGTAACTTTTTTTTATTTCAACATTTTCAAAAAATAATAATAAAATAAAAATGGGAAATGAGCATTAACAATTAAATATCAAGCAGCAACCTTCCGGTCTCTCTTTTGAAACCAGCATGGAAGTGACTTAAACTGCAACTCATCGACTGGCTGCTAGTGACTGGCTCCAAAAGGGAGTCAATCCCATAAACCCCCCATGTTAAAACTTTACTGCAGAAAAAAAATATGTTTACAGCCTGGTATGTTTACAGTGGTTTTGGTCTATATACTGTAGCTAATTTTGCCCTTCATGACAACTGTGAGGGGGTGAATTTTTTATAACTCATCTGTTTGAATTATATTAAGCCTTAAAGTTCGACATAATTAAGGGCGTGGCCACTTGAGTGACAGGTGGAATGCCGCTGCTGTCACCACTGTCGAGCTAGGTGGGCGTGGTTTCAGCAACCAGCTCCACCCACATCCCACTTCTTTGCCCATTTTCGATTATCCAGGAGTGACGCGCAGTGATGCGCTGCCAAGATGGCAATGCCCAGTTCCGCCCACTTTGGGCTTCAAAAATGTCACGGACACTACGTTCATGTTTTTATAAAGTCTATGTTAAATATCCTATATAGATCGCAAAAATCTCTAATAGAGGTTACTATATTTTGCATTCACAGTAGACAAAAACAGTCTAAATCATTTTTATTTATTTATTAATTTATTTTTAATCTGGCAATTAATGAGTACTGATTTCTGATGCATTCTGATTTATTTTGAAGTAAATTACAAATGAAATACAATTATAAATAAAAATAAAGTTCGAAAAATAAAGTTTAGTTTTTGGAAAAATAACATGATACTACATAAATACTACAGTGTAAATCTTACAAGCAAAGTATTACCATCAAGTCACTGTTTGTACATATCTGTTACATGTTTGTAGAAATCCATTGACCTGCATAGATGATTGATGGCACTCCTTCAGCCTGGGGCTCATTTGACAGGGGTCAATGAGGTCAGATTTAGTATTGACACTCAGTTAACTCAATCTGAGCAGGGCGGGTGGTAGTCAACATCTGAGTGTCACTCTGAAATACAGTGAACTAAAAAGACCACCCTGAACACACTGAAAATGATACTGAAATGAGATGTGGCAAAGCGGTTGAATATATATATATATATATGTGTATATAAATAAAGACACATACATATACATACAGTAGGCTTGTAAGTAACGGTTGAGGGTTCAATCTCCATTGTTAAATCCTGTTGTAAATCTTCTTTAAGCTGCTTTGGATAAAAATGTCTGTTAAATGACTACTCTTGACTACGGCTATATATCTGGACTTCTCAAAGTCTCCCAACTCTTAACACTTTTCTCTTTCTTCTTCTTTCTCTATGGCTGAAACTCATGTCTATGTCTTCAAACAAAAGCCAACTATATTTCCATACCTCTCAGAGATATCTAGCATGACGTGACCCGCGGTTCTCAGCCCACGGTGGGAAAGACTTCATCTGAAAACGGTCTTTGTAACAAAGCCTGTATCAGATACTGCGACGAAACTGCCCAGAACTTCACACACACTCGAGCCTGGGAACGCACACGAATGCTACGGCCGCATACCACAACCGATCTCTGTCTACAAACAAAGTGCTCAATTAATGATGACCTCAACTTTGCGTCCTTCATTCATTATTTAATTGCTGAAATCATCCAGTCCTCTTTGAAGGCGATGTTTATTGTTGCAGGCGTGTTAGAGCTACCAGCCTCCTGTGCTTGTTCTGTTCTTAAAGGAAACCAGGAAATTGGGTGATTCTTTAGATTTGTAGGGCCTTGTTTATGCTTTAAAACAAGTTTATTCATTAAAATTAACAAGCCCTTCTACCATAGTCCACAGTAGCGAGATCGGCTTCGGCCGAATAAGCGAAAAGACCGAATAAATTGTACCGAACAATGATATGATGCGACCAAATAGCAACCAGCGCAGAGTGAGAGGCGTGCTCTTTATTATACAGCACACATATCAGCAGTGTGGAAGCATTTAAACTGTCGGAGAAAGACGCAAAAATCATTACAAGCACCGACAGCGAGAAACTGTTTAGGACTGCATCGCATGTCTTCAATGAGAAGAGGAAGGGGTGATTGTTGCTGGTTACTGTATGATGATTGAAATCGCAAAATGGCCTTAAACAATTAGTAAATAAACTGCAGAACGTTATGTTTTCTAATACACGCGGTCATTGCATGTATTTTGACAGCGCTGCATGAACTCGCGGCGGATCTGCTTGTTAACCAGGGTTCAAGTCCAAAGTGCGAGGAAAAATATTGTGTTAAATATTTTTAAATGGTTGTTTTGTAATTGATTTTTTTACTTTGAAAAGCAAGACAAAACAGTAAAAAGCACATTTTGGCTTTTTAATTTATGCAATGGTGAATTTTTTTGGGCAAAATACATGGGGAAAAAAACTCGAAAAACCGTATTTGGTATTCGGTCTTCGGCCCAGTGTTTAATTTTGTTGGGTTTTGGCTTCGGCCAAGAATTTCCATTTCAGTGCATCCCTATCAGAAGCCATTACTGTAATTGCATATGGCTGTGGAACATTGCTCACTTGCAATATCCTGAAGATATCCATCTTATTGAACCATACTAATTAATTGAATTTTCATCAGCGCTAAGCTTATTAACTGTTATGACAAATTATTCGAGGGGCATACATGTAGGACACCTAGCACATTGCTTTTGAGCATTTTCCTCTTCCAGCCTGAGAAATTATTATCTTTCATTTCAGTTATCTGTCTTTGACTTGGTAAATGCAGTGGACGACGGCCTTGTTTGCGGTTTGACTGAGTAACACACCATGCCTCGCTACTTCAGGGGAAAGTACAGTTTACCGAAGGCTTGTTTGGCCTCGTAAAAATTATGCAAACGAATGTCACGGTGCCGAACGGATGCCAGTGGAGATGACGGAGGAACACTTACAGGTTCTTGACGGCGGTGATCCCTCGGAAAGCCTTACGAGGAATAGCCTGAATCTGATTCTCGCTCAGGTCCCTGGAGAGAGAGATGACAAAGAGAAAGAGAGAGATATTAGGATTTGTTTGAAGCCACTTCACATTTCGGTCGAAAGCGTTTTGAGGAAGATGGACAGTTTGCTGCCGCCCCACTGGAACGACGCGCCTCAGCTTTGAAGACCAAAATTGTTCTACTGACCATAAATGTCACATCCTCCTTTATTCGTCTGGCCTTTTATCACTCCGTCTGTATGTGCGCCTAATGAAAAACATTTCTAAAGCAGTACTTTGTAATGAAAGGTCTCATAGTGGTACGTCCCACAATCCTGCAGAAAATGAAGCAATCATATGCACTTTGAGTAACCCGAGAAAGAAAATAGACAAAAGCAGCTCTACATCAAAATGAATGCCTGGCATTTTTAATGCTCGCTTATGAGCCAAATGATTTTTGACATGTCACAATGGTTGTGCTTAACTTTATTAAGCTTGTTTGTTTGTAGACTCACGCTGGCAAAACATAATTTGAAAACCAGAATGCAATTACTGGCCAAGAAGGAAACAAATGAGATATGGAATATCTGCCCAGCTAATCAAAGCGTCTGCTTTGGAATCATGCCTGCTACACATAACACTGACAGACCACCATGTGGGTTAACCCACCTGACCTTGCTACAACCAATTTCACTGATAAACAATCAGGCGCGGATCCAAACGTGGCGAGGAATTCTGCCAGAGCTCATGCGTGGGACATGATATATCAAGCACAGGACTGCCAGCAATTTCCTCTTAGGAGCATTAAAAACTGTAGTTATTGGGCTCTCCCCTCCTTCAGCCCCCCGCCAGAACTGGATATGTGTGTTTTTTTTCCCTTTCCAACCAATCAAGTTTTATTATGGCAAAAATCTTAATAACTATGTTATGCTTTGCAATAAGGGGCTATGGTATTTCATCGAACTGTTCTTGATGGTTTTTGACATGTTCCACAATCCTACATTTCTTTTTTTTTCTTTTTTACAGCACTCTTGGCTTGATGTGAACATCATGTTCCTTTGTGCATCCTTCAAGTCGAACTATGCAGCGCATGCACAGAGGAGGGCAAACATTTGCCGAGTAAAAACTCATAACATCCCATGTTCGTATGCCAGAGTGGGAAAATAGGAAAGATGTTTATACTATCATCACGCTGGGCATGAGCGAATGTATATCAGCACTACCTCCCCGTCGCCTTTGATGATCTAAATGCGAAACAGATAAAGTGCAGAGATGGTGAGGAGCACAGAGGCAACTTCTCTTTGCTTTGGCTTTTTAATTCTTCATGAATGGCGAAGCACCGGCCTCGTGCATCCTTGGCGTGCCGCGAGCGCAACGTAGTACTTTACAGCACTTCCACTGCTAATAAATGTTTTATTGCTTTGTTTACTCAGTGGAACCTTTTTCATTATTTCTACAAAAAGGCAAATTGTCCCAGCCAAATAACGGCACTTATGAAACACAATCAGTCTCAGCGGTGCTCTCACCGAGGAGCGACAGAGAGAAACTCCATGTCAGAAGAAAAAAGCAAAACAAAAATGGTCTCGCAGGCTTTGGGTTGAATGAGATGATTTCTAACAAAGAATTACAGACAGAATTAAAGAGACAATAGAAGTTTATGAGATATGAGAATTATACCGGCAGGAGAATGTAGCAATGTACGTATTTCATCTTTTAACGATGTATTAATTACACAATCCATGTGACTTCAGAATGAATACAAGCTCTCCAAAGAATCTTTAAAACACAGGTTGATTAGTCAATTTAGATAACTGTGTTGATGCTATTTTCTGCATAAACTGTAAACATAATTTTCTTAATATTTATTTTGTTTTATATATATTATACACATATGAACAAAGCAAAATTACATAAGCCTTACATAAGTCTTGTTTTTGGATAATATAACCTGATTTGAACCTATTTTTCAAAAACAGACAAACTTTTTCTAAAAAGAATCTTTGGCAAATATTATATATATATACAGTATACATATATATATATATAGTATAAACTCATATGCTGTGTAAAATAATTTTGTTTTGGAGAAATAAACTGAATTTTACAGCAAAAATAAACTGAGCTCAATCCTTGTATACACTGCTATCATTAGTGTCAAATTGGGCGTCTTAACAGACACTGGAACAAATGCTTTAAGTTAAACATACAGATTCAAAGCAGACATAAACCAAACAGTGTTTGTTAAAGGACAGAGCTGCATCGGTCCCCCTCCTCTAGCAATCTGCTTGCAAATTTCATTAATTTCATTTGGCTCTGGCCCTGCTCTCTCTGACTGTCAGGATGCATGCCATAAATCTCCCTTTGATTCCATTACAGCTCCCATGTCCAGACAACCTGGCAACGCCAAAACATATTACAGATAAACGCTCAGCAACATGCAAGGATACAAGAGCCGAGCTGCAAGGAGGATCTATCCTTACACACACGCACAGACTCTCACACACACAAAGGTCAGACAAAGCGAAACGCTACATACTACATTAAAGCTGTTGTTATGCCACTCAGCAAACATCATGTTTTCAGTCGAATGCACACAAGAATCAATGATAAACGGTTAAACATATGCACGGAAGAGAAGACCACTAATAGTTCAATACATACATCTGTCACATTTCGAAAGCTCAATATTTTGTCAATATACATCAATGGGAGATTTTCAGACTTTTCTCTTTAACAATTGCTTAAGAAGTTTCATAGTACATCTTTTGAAAGTGTTTTTGGCTTAATTAACTGCAGACATTTTCTACTTAGGGGTTAGTGGTTTAGAATAAATCTTAAGCAGAGTCCGTCCATTCATTTTCCAAACAGCGTAAGTAAGTTTCTAGAGCAGAATATCAATACACCGCTACCTTACAAACACAGTAAAAAAACAAAATTGAGGGAATGTCGGTCAATTCTCTTTCTTATCACGCTTTACGAATGTCACTCTTATCTCTCCAATGAAAAATGGAATGCTGCGGTTTTACAAGAAGGTTATTTGCGTCGGTTTTGTTGTTTTCTCGCTCTGTTTAAACCACAAAGGAAAAGAGTGATTGTCTAAGGAAGCAGCGGAAACTTAAACATCACTTTACAGTAACTCAGATAATGCAGGATGGCTGAGACCGGCTCTCATTCAGCAATGACTCACACACAAAAAGCTTCTCAGGTGCATATGCAGAGTTTTCTTTCTTACCCTCATTCTACTGTAATGTTGATGAATATGGATCAGAAATGAGGGAGCATGTTCATGCAGTTAGTAATTAGCATAAAGCACGCACAGACTCACCCATCTCCATAGAAGAGCCTTCTGAACAAGCCATCCTATTCAGCAATTCAGTAATCTCTGCAAACATATACCTTACAGCATATAAAGATGCAATCTTACCTAACAGCACCCAGAGCAAGAGTAAAGCCAACTGTGCCATCCTCAAAAACACAAGAGACACCTTTTATGCAGACATAGATTACACTGCATTTTATGCAGAAATGATTAAATAAGTCAATAAATAAGACTTTTAAATAGTTCACTAAGTTATTCAATTAGTTTCTGATTAGCTTAATAACAGCAAAAACACCAACAGCAATTTACTACAAATCAATACTCTAAAATATTTTATAATCCCAATATATATATAATTAAATACTACCAATCAAATGTTTTGGGTCGGTAAGTTTATACTAAGTTTATACTTATACTGCTCACTAAGGCTACACGTTTGTTCATAAATACATTAAAAACAGCAATATGAAATTTTAAATCTTAAAATACTTCATAATTTACGCATATGACGGCAGAGCTGAATTTTCACCAGCCAGTCTTCATGGTCCTTCAGAAATCATTCTAATATGCTAATTTGAAGGAAACATGTTCTTATTCTTATTCTTATTCTTATCAATGTTGAAAACAGTTGTGCTGCTTAATGCTTTGGTAGAAACCACGATACATTTTTTTTCTCTGATGAATAGAAAGTTCACAAAAACAGCATTCGTTTGAAATACAAATATTTAGTGACATTATAAATGTCTTTACTTTTGATCAACTGAATACATCCTTGCTGAATAAAAGTGAATTTCTTCAACTAAAAAAATCTTACTAACCCCAAACATTTGAACAGGAGTGTATGCAAAAACAAACAAACAAGTAAATAAATAACTAAATGTGAAAAAAAACTGAAAAAGGGAAAACTTGTGATTTCTGCATGAAAGCATCTGCACAAATGTAAGTGTACACTCTCACACATGAGATTCACTGTCGGCCAGGACTGGTTTTCCCTGAGGAGGTCAAGAAAATGTGTGTTTCACAGTACTTTGTGATGTTAATCTCTTATAAAATCAAACATGGCAATTTTTTCCCCCCTAATAAAGCCTCTGTATAAATTACAGAGCAAACTACTTACGATGTTTGGGCTAACTCAGCCCTCTGAGAAATCTAATCCCCGTCTGGATTGGACTGCTTGTTGATACAGTATATCACACAAGTCTAATTTCAATGGCTCTCGTGATGCATGGATCCGGAGCACTTGGGCTATTCTTTCCTTCTTTCTTTCTTATATTTAAAACCAAAGTCAAAACAGACATCTGTCTCCTTCCATCTAGCTTATCGAGCACAAACCGCAGCCCAGCTGGGTGACTGGACCGTTGATATGTCTCCCACCATGCCCGTGCCTCTCTCAGTATCTATCAAGCGCTGTCTTGCTTTCACTCTTGCTCTTGGCAGGGCTGTTATCTGCATGCCAAATTGAATCTAGAGTCCGAGATTCTCGCAGAGGCCCTGATGCCTGTCAGTGGGTTCCTACACGCTTCTGTTAAGTCCTGCCAGCGCCGACAGATCGACCCCGGATGTGCTGGTACGATCACACACAGATGGGTCAGACACGTCTAAGCGTACACACATGATCAGGTGAATGGTTATTAAAACCCTCCAGATACTCTCGCCAGATATATGACATTACATTATTCATTTAGTAAGCACTCATAACTGGGGCAAACCGCGTTGCTTTCATATTACATCTGACCCGATTGCTTCAGGGATGACTAGTTTAAATGTGTGTGTTAGGGGCCAAATGGCTGTTAAGCATGGCGGGCGACTGTTCTGAAGTAAAACCAGCCCTATAAACAAAAGGAGAGTATTACAACATACCCTTCGGCTTGAGGATTCAGAGTCTGGAGGCATATTTGTTTTTCATCTGGGTGTCATGAGGAATCGGGAGGTTAAGATTGCAAGCTGGCCGGGTCGGATGCCGTTCGCATGGGTTATGAGATGCACATTTCTGATTTATTTCATTAAAGACACAGCCAGAACTCAGAGAAAGCAGCAGACCCCCTGGGGCACTCCATAAGCATTTTGTTTTATGAAACCCGAGACGTCTTCAAGTCCATACCCATTCAAGCGGCGGTTTCACATGACGAGCTGCATCTACTGTAAAGCATGCACTCTTGCCACTTTCTCCACATCAGCGGAGCCTTTTCCCACCGGAACGACAATTCATGTAACACTTATTCGATAAAGATATATAGAAATGTGCATAATAAATAGTGACCCCGTTGCAGCCTCGTATTTCACTCTTTTACAGCCCCGGTTATGGTCGTGATGGGCGGCCCTCTCTCTCTCGCTGCCGGCTGGAGTCTCCGCTCTGCTTTATGGCCACTTTTAAAAATGGAGGCAAATTAAAACACTATGGATTTCTGGCCCTGAAAGACTATATAGTATAATTGGCTTTAAGGATGACAGTAGTTCTTAATTACACAGAGTATAGGAGCTTTTTCATTGGACCCAGGCCGCTCGCTCTATCGCTCTCCCGTCTCATTCTGCGTGAATCACCAGCCAGTAGATCCTCTGCTTCTCTTCGGTTATTAAAAGTTATGATTGCGGTTTCTCCACTGAAATCTATCTCTTAAATGGAGAAAAGTGGATGTAAATATTATGTTCTGGCAGGTGGCACAGAACCAGCAACGAATCACACTCTGGCTGCAAATGTGAAAGCGTAACTGTACTGATCTGTAGATGGAGGTTTCACCTGCAGTGCTGCATATAGGATGATAATGGCAGACAGATAAAGGCAAACAATTGTGAAGGTTAATACACGTCTGCCAGTTCAATCAAATAATGCATTCTTGTCTGAAGCAGAACAGCATCATTAATCTGAAAAATAATGATTACGATTAAGGCTTTTACTGTTAACAAACCACAAAATATGTTGATCATAGGTCTGTTCCTGCTTTTTAAATTATTATTATTATTATTAGTTTGACAGTGGTCAAAACCAGACAACTAAATATATCAATTTTATACTTTTTTCTTAATGCATTGGACACCAAAACAAATGTTAAAAATTCTGTGTTAGAAATCTACGTACAATATGATATCATGAATTACTAAAGTCACCCTTCAGCTTCACTTTAAAACCATCAAAATATTACTGATGTAGTTTTAAGATATAAATATAGTTGTTAATGTGCTGATTTGCTGCTCACAAACCAGTTCTTATTATCACTGTTGAATACAGTTGTGATGCTTAATATTATTGTTATTTTCAGGATTCTTTGATGCATAGAAAGTTCATTTACTTGAAACAGAAATCTTATAAATGCCATTAGTGTCACTTTTGATCAATCCCATGCATCTTTGATAAATAAAATAATTTATTTATTTAAAAATAAATCTTACTGACACCAAACTTGCCATAACACTAAATATTATACTGTACAGTAAGCAATGCAATAAAATTATAATTAAAATAAGATGGGATCATCAAAATAATTTTTTTAATGGATATTGCATTAGATGGAATAAATAGCAGCTACAATGTTAAGGTAAATAAACGTTCAGCCCTATTAAGACGTGTACCAACAAGATGATTAAACACAGAGTAAGACTGACTGATCTGAAACCCATCGCCATCTCTTTAATCTCTTTTGTGACAGCAGTAAGTCAGACTTGTTGTAAGGAAGTGGGTATGGAAATGAAACAAAAGAGAAAGACAGAAGGATGTAGAGGTGGAGTCCTTGTTCACTGATCAGCGTCTGGCAGCGTCAGCTTTGTATTCTGCCGCAGTCGTTTAACTGCCCTTGCTTAGTGTCTTACATGTAGCCCAAAGACTCCTTGATTTAATTAACTCAGTGCTTTATGAATAAAAATATTTCACTATTGATCATCCCAAGAGCTGACGCAGGCTAAACAGATTCAGCGCTCGCTTCATTACACCGTCCTTACTTGCTTTTTTTTTCTGATGGCAAGGGAGGAGGTGAGGGTCAAAGTCGCTATGAAGGGAGGTGAAGGCAGCTTCTAAATCAAAGTAAATGAGCTCAAATGCTCCCTTGGGTGTCTAAAGCTTTCTGCTAAAGCTTCTACATTCCTCTGCTGCCTCCAAGAAAGAGTCCGCGTATGGATATTATAAATAGAAAAGGTCCACCCCCCCCCCCCAATTTCTT